TGTTGCCTTAGACATTTCATTCTTTTCATTATTTCTTGCATCTTTGAACCAGGTGCTGAATTACACATCTATACCGATCATGCAACCATTCTAGTCTTTTCCCTAACAGTCATATGACTCAGATCTATTCACTAGAAAAGGACAAGCCAAGTGCTGGTGTTTCACACTAATACTTCTATTCAGAAGGCTAAGATCTGAGAATTGAGGTTTGGAGTTACACAGACAAACTGAGAAGGTCCTGAGCTCAAATTCCAGTACCACAACAAAACAAAACAAAAGAAAGCTTCTGAAAAAGTTGGTTTTTGTTCCCCCTTCCTAATATGTCTAGGGAATATGAGAAGAGCTTTCCGCCCTCTTCTTTTTTGGGGGGGAATATAGTCATGTAAACAGGTGACCATATGAGATGTAGTGACCATCTGGCTATCAAGAGAGGGCCCTAGTGAGCAGAGTAAAGATCCTTCATGGGATCACTGTACCACGTTGAGACATCCCCCGGGGGACTCAGGAAGCAAACAAATTTATATAATTTAACTCACTATATAATCTAACTCACTGTGTTCTCTGTTCTTTGAAGTTATTGTGTAGGCAAAAGGAGATAATTAACAAATTAACAACAAGCACAATTCAGAACATGAAAAAGTATCTCAGTGAAGACTCAAATCAACGTTCAGGTTTTTTTTTTCTCTTTCTTAAAATAAATACTATTAGATTATGGAAAAGGTTACAAGTAACTATAGTTCCATACATGTTCATAATAGAGAAGATTATAGGAAAACAGCAATTATACATCAACATACCCATAAGAGAGATTATGTCAGATAGCTATAAACAATAGCCTATTTAACTATTTTAATATACTTATTTACACATCATAGGATTAAAGATAATCTATACTACTCAAAAACATAAAAGTGTATTCCCTGGAATGTTCCTTTACTACCACCACCAACAAATAAAACTATTAAAGCAAATGCGCTTGGAATATACTGCATACTGCATCTACCTGTTAAATATCTTATGGATAGCAATGTAATAAAAAGAAATGTTTTTAAAAGAAATGCTATGAATAAGCAAACTAATTATAAACCTATTTTGTACAAATTTATTAGGCTTCAGAATTCATTTCTTATTATGTATTCCCAAAGCATACATTTAAGAAAGTTTATCTGTATGTTTTGGTAATATCAGTACTGTTACTGAGTTATGAAGTAATGGGAAGAACCACTTTGTTGTTGTATAGGTAATCAAAAAGTCAGTAAAATTCAGTATCAGTAAAAATTGTGTATAAACTCCTGAAATCTTTTCTATAATAAAGAAGTCTTATAAATTTCCTGTTTGTACTTTAGCTGGTCCACCAACAAAAATAATATATATGTTATCTTTAAGATAAATTATATATTCATTTCCATCAACTTATAGGTAAGTTAAAATTAGAATATTTTTCATAATAGGTTATATCTGAGGTCAACCTAGTGAATACATGTAATTGTATCATATCAGTCTTTGTGTATGGATATAGGAAAAATGTGCTTGCATTAAAAAAAACCTTTTCTAATAACCTCAGTGGGGTTATTTTCAAAAGCTGCTTAAAATACACAAATGAAAAAGAGCCTATAATGTATTAAAGTTAAATCATGTTTACTTCAAGTTTTCAGATGCTAACAAAAAAATGTTCAAGAAAATGGAGCAAAAGTAATATAGTTCACTGGTTATAAGTACAATTACTTTGTTATAATGCTGCCAGGGGAGTCAAGTTGATACACACCGCTGGTACATGCAGGGGAAATACAACTTAATGTAAACAGACAGTTCTCAGCACATTCCTTTGCTAGAATGTGGCCATCTGCCACAAAATACACAAGCTCATGCACAAGGTCAAGACGTTACATACAGCGGAGATCACAACATCATGCATATCACAACAGCGTGCTAGAGAATCCTACCACAGATTGTGCAGATGTTCAACCCCACCCCATGAGCCACCGCCAGCAGTTGCTGTGGAGTTTGGTTACCCATATCCGTGACACGAACGGTGTCCTTTGGAGAATCTTGTTCCCTGTGGCTGTAAGTATTCTTATTTTTATAATATTCTAATGATGCTTGCTATGAAACTGTTAAGTATAAACTAGAAATTACAGAAATGTAGACTTCATGTTACTGAACAATTATACACATCTTATCTCAGGCACCTGTAATAAATAGCACTTGCATTTGAACGTAATACCTTAAGTACTTAAGTGAACTGTCTGATGGCAATAACCAGGGAGTGGGCAAAAAATAAATAAATAATCAAACTTCAAATAGTTACTTTGATTTCTAGCACTCAGAACTGTGGCAAGTCATTCTAAGGACCTGACTAACACTTAGCTAATAAGTTCTATTTAAGAATATATTTTTGGGTAAGTCTTTCATGAACATTTCAGTTTTGAAGACCTGATTGGCAAACAATCAACCAAGTTGATATTATTTGTCTCAGTAGTGAAAGTACAAAATATAATCATTAAAAACCCTCCTCCCACTTTTTGAGCATGCTAAGTGTATTTCATTATCCTTTTTGCCTATTTATGTCCTAAATGTACTCTGGTAAAGATAAAATTCTTTGTTATTAGCCAATACCTGCTAAATTACTGGTATTCATAAAAAAATAGAATTAGAATTCTGGAACCACAAACATTTTGAGTGGTTCAGTTTTGTGATTCTTGGCAGAACTAATTGGCCCTATAGGAAAGGTAAATTCAGTATCTTGGGAACGCTTCAGTATATTTTTATTCAGGCCAGGTAGGGAAGAAAAAGAAACTACAGTCAACTCTCAATAACAATGGAAGATAGGATGGAGAATTAAGATCTGATGATCATAAAAATGATCTAAAAATCTTATTTTAAGTTACATATATTTATAATAATTTCAATTCCCTTCCTTATCAAATATTTGAATTAAAATTTTAAAAATTCTTGATAGATTAAAAAAAGAAGTAGAATTTTAGCTCTTTTCCCTGCCTCCCCTTAAGCTTTAGACAAGATGCAAACAAGAATACTATAGTTTGATATATGGACCTGTAAAAACAGAAACATACTTTGCCTCTAGTCTTTCCAATTTAGATTTTAAAACTATCCATATTCTACTATTTTAAGCTTACTTTTAATCTTTGCACAAAAGGATGGCTTTATCTGCTTTAAAAATTGTAACTCTTTTATCATGAAATAATTACTTATTTCGATATCAGCAATTTTATCCACTTTTTCTGACTTTGAAATACAGCCTACAACTTGGTATTTACCAAGTTACATTTCCTTACAAGTAACATTTGCAAGTTATACAAATTAACAATATCAGTATTATTCAGCATCAGCATAATTTATGATAGAAGTAAGTGAGTTTGGGACTTTGGCTAGTTGCCTCTCCTGATTCTTATCTACTAGAGTAAAGCCCTACACTATTCTTAGATTTTCTCCATTAGCCATCATTCAACTGTTAGAAGAATTTGAAGTGAAATGTTTTTATTATTATAAAGTTTATTATTTGAACAAGTAATGTCTAATTCTAATAAAGAAATAAAAAATACCATTCTCTGAATATTTAATTACAGCAGAATCTCAGCAGGTAACTATAGCAGGTATGCCACAACACAAGAAAAAAAATGTACTTATACTGCTATATGTTTACAAGGAAGGTAACAGAGATCTATCTATCTACATTTGTAAGTATAAGACTCAAATGGTAAGATATGTGCATAACTGTAAACTTTTGCAATGGTACTTTATTTGGTTTTTATATGTATTCAAGAAAAAATTAGTAAAGAAAAATACATGTACTAAACGAATATAAATTTATTTAAAAGTTAACATCATCGCTGGTATTTTATACATCTATAAAATCAGTATTTCCATTTAAGATATTTTACACTGAAGAAATATTTGCTTAGTTATAACAAAAGTGAAGATTAATTTTAGGAACTATTTGGCTGCATGATTTAAACGAATAGTCCTAACACTTTCACTACAAATGACTAAGTTGGTTTTTAAAAATTAATAAACTAATTCTTTCAGTTAAGTTCTTTCAGAAATAATGCATTCAAAAGTAATAGCCCTAAGAGCTATATAATTTCCACTTGGGATTCAAGGATTAAGTCTAGAAGATATTTAAACATTTCTGAAAGTATGACCTTTTCTTTTCTTTTTTTTTTTTTTGGTCGGTCGTAGGGCTTGAACTCTGGGCCTGGGAGCTGTCCCTCAGCTCTTCAGCTCAAGGCGAGCACTCTACCACTTGAGCTACAGCGCCACTTCCGGTTTTCTGGTGGTTTATTGGAGATAGGAGTCTCACGGACTTTCTTGCCCGGGCTGGCTTTGAACCGCGATCCTCAGATCTCAGCCTCCTGAGTAGCTAGGATTACAGGCATGAGCCACCAGCGCCCGGCTAAAGTATGACCTTTTCAAAAATACTTACAAATAATAAGAAAGGTCAGGGGAATTTTTATTTACATTTGATCATTTTTACATATTAAGAATAATTAACACAAAATTAGTTAATTTTATGCAAGTAGTTTTTGTCAGCCTGAAATTTTATGAAACTAGTTTTTAAAGGTATCATTTAATGATTAAAATTCAGATGTCAGAAATCAGAATGGTGTTCTGTATGATTACCTGCTAAAACTATATCGCTAGTAAATGGAAACAATGGAAATGGAAAAACATGCTGTAGATAAATGTGATGAACATATTCTATAGGGATATCAAAATTTTATTCTCACTGCGAATTTGTATTTCAGTAAGACCAGTATAAGACAGTCATATATAAGTGAGCAGGTAGAACGATAGGAAAGTGACATGGAAAGGCAAAGAAAACTGGCTATGTTCTAGCACAACAAGATACTTGGTTTCTCAGTGACTTAAAGGTAGGTTCAATGACTTGGTATTTTACCTGTCAGTTTTTGGTATTACAAAGTTGAAGCAAGCTTATAATAAAATTCATTTGATGCAAATTAGATAAATTCTTCACTTACTTCATCTGGGTTGGCATTAAAGGTAAGGCTGCCTTCATCCAGCTGCATATACAGTTTTCTAAAAGAAAATCCTAGGGGTGGGTTTTTATTGTATATGGAACAGTGACCCCATGTGGACTTGCACAACCTGTACAAATTAAAAGAAAATGAGACCAAAAGTTAATGTATTTAATTTCTGAAGTGATCACTAGGTGGCAGGCACTATTTTGAATATTTTAATGCTATTAAACTGCTCAATTCCATCAACAGTCCATTGATGCAGACGCAACATATACAAAGCAGAGACAAAAAAGTTGTCCAAAGTCACATAGCTTCATATGAGCAGCAGGCTTTGAATCCAATGAGTTTGACTGTACAGCATCAAAAGCTGTGATGCTAACATGTTTAAAGATACTATTTTAAAAACACTGGTTCTTGGGTTGGGGATATAACTCAGAGACAGAGTACTTGCTTAGCATGTACCAAGTGCTGGGTTCCATTCCCAGAACAACAAAAACAAAATAAAACAAAAACCAAACAAAGAACATTGGTTCTTTATCACAATGATTCATGACTGTATAAAAATTCTATGAAACCTGTGAAATATTAACTATCCATATCGCAAACATAATATTTCCTTAAGTTTAGGATAGGAATTTCTAACTTAGTTTATAGGGAAGAGCTACTGGTTATTATTTGATTTTTTTTGTTTGTTTGTTTTTGGGTCCAGTCGTGAGGCCTGAACTCTGGGCCTGGGCACTGTCCCTCAGCTCTTCAGCTCAAGGCCAGCGCTCTACCACTTGAGCCACAGTGCCACTTCCGGCTTTTTTCTTTTTGCTTATATGGTGCTGAGGAATCGAACCCAGGGCCTCAGGCATACAAGGCAAGAGCTCTACCACTGAGCCACCTTCCCAGCCTGGTTATTATTTGAAAGGTAAAGTTTTATCTTATAAAGTCTGGATATACAGCATAAAGTCTTAAATATAAGTTCATTAGAGACACAGAAAATACTGAAACTATATTTTAATATGTTTTTGGTTCTTTGCTCCAAGATTATGTAAACTGCTGTGTGTGTGTGTCTGTGTATGTCTGTATGTTTAAAAACCTGCTTCTAGTTGAGACAACTATAGTTTCATCTCTAATAATCATTAGTGGTTTTTGCTTCAAACATCCTCATATACACATATGCTCCTATACACCCAAATCTGAAAAAGCTCATTGCCTGTAGCATCAAGTTGTGAGGATAAATGGATGTCATAGTTGGCTTAAATACTTGCATTGCTTTTTTTTTTTTTTTTTTACCAACTGAATGCAATTACTGTTTGAAACTATAAGAAATTGTTTTAGGAAATTATTTCTATTTTGCTAGTCTTTATCAACGTAGCTTGTAAGTTTTATTATTAAACTATGTATAAGCAACAGAATCTCCTGACATTTTCAAATGTTCAACACAATTGAAGTTAAAATAAAAACTGAGCCAGTCTTTACTTTCAAACAGAAGCAATTTATCACTAAGTAAAAGAAAACCCAGGCCAGGTGTGGTAGTACACACGTGTAAATCCTAGCATTTGGAAGGCAGGAGAAGGATAGAGTGTTTGAGCAAGCATGGAAAAAGGAGAAAAAGAGAATCTAGGGTTATAGGCAAAATTATATGGCAAAAAATAAAGGAAACATGTCTTATATACCACAGAAGTTACTGAAATAGGGTTTACCAGCCCAGGCTGGTTTGGAACTCACATTTCTTCTCCTTGGGATTTCCCTGGGATTATAGGTATGGGTTACCACACCCAGAAACCTCCTGATGAACAATGTTTATTTAAACCCAAATGAAAAATTAATTCTGATTGAGTTCACCTAAGCTTAAAAATAAACTTTTTAAAATTCAAATATAGGAATATAAGTGAAGTTCCTGGGAGTATAAAAATGTAGAAAAAAAGAATTAAGAATTGGAAAGTTTTAAAGTACTTAATTTCCTCTTTTGCTCATAGAACACTTTAAACATGATTTTAAACATGACTAACGGAATTTCCTCTCACAAAGTGCCTTTGCTATGGCAAATCAGTGAGAAAATTATGAGATGAAACTAGTGACTTTGGTGTATTTATTGACTGAGAAATGTATGATTTTTATATTACTGTGATATCAGAAAACCAAAGTTAGAAATGTCAGTACTAACAAATACACTTTCATTACAGTTTGGCAATGTAGGTTTACTTCTTAATTCTCTCACTTTGATTTACAGTTAGAAATGAGTTCAAGTCTCAGGGTTAGAACTGTGGTTCAGAAGTACTGTGTCAACCTAGCAAACACCCTCAATTTGTACCCTAGTTCTACCAATTATTTTTTTTTTAAAGACATGTTTCTAAATATGCTATTTATCGAAGACTTAAACTTCAATAAAGAATGCCACAAAACCTGAGATTCAAATTCTTCTATGTTTGGTAACAATTTTAAGACTTAAAAGAAAAAAATGTACACATAATCTTTTTGTGTGATATTTCAGGAGTAGCTAAGATTAATGAAATAGATTCTATAATACTAGCATTCTTAGATAGCAATTGCTAAAACTTCTATAATCTATTTTAAGCAAGTGAATTTATCCATCTACTTTCAAATATTTGCTTACTTTACAAAATGGTGCTTAGAAAAACACACAAAACTTATGCCAGGAAGTAACTGTGACAAATGAAACAAACACACATATACTTCTGTTTGAAAGCAATAAAACAACAACATTTGAGAATTATTTATTTCTTTGACAGAATTCCTATGGAAAGCCTGAACTACTGCAGGGATGTGAGATTCTTCACTTCTAATTATAACTTTTAACTTTAGAATCTTGTGTACTTTTGAAATGTACTGGTGATTTCTCACTTAGGGTAACTGACACATGTACATCACTACAGAGTGATCCTCTTCTCACCAGAAAGCCAAGGCTGCCCTATTGCCTTCCTCCTCCTAATATCAAAACTGACTGATGACAACAATATCTTTATTTTCCCAGGATTTAATAGAGCAAAGTCTAAGTTAAAAGAAGGTATCTCGTAATACATACATGTTATGAAAGAACATTAAGCATGACTATGACCTAAGATCCGCATCAAATATTGGTAGGTTTAACTTACCCTTGCCAGAGAAGTTCATCATTAGCAAGGTCTTGCCAAACACATGATGCCAAACAGAGGTCAGTTGCATTCAGGTAGGATAAGATGGTGAAGCTCAGCTCTGGGGGCAGCATTTCCAAATTAATGAATCCTTCCTGTTCTTTAGATTTCCTTGCTTTCAAAAGGTGATATATATCAATGCCTCCTTGGACTTGTTTCCGGTGGTTGGTACCAGCAATGCTGCTTGCCGCCATTCTCCTGCTCTGCTCTCTGGTGAGGTAGCCTTGCTCACTATAGCCTTCCTGCTGGAGCTGCTGGTTTCTGGCCACTCTCCACAGCCCTTGACCCATCTGCAAGCCTGCCAGAGTGTAATAAGGATGACATTCAAAAAGTAAACCATGTTTCCCAGTGGTACAACAAATCTGACATGAGCATTATTTTATCAGTGTTAAAATTCCTCATTAAAGCCCAATAAAAGCAGTAGCATATTATGAAGAATAGGTGGAACATTTTAAGTGACAAGTTTGGATAGAGAGTTTCAGGAATGTTTGGTCTGATCATCACTTTCATTCCAGCTTGCTAAGTAGTTTTAAAGACCACAGGTGAGAAAATAATTTTTCATGTAGTAAGGTTTAAACGTTACTGATGTCCTGAAGACTCTTACAAATTATAATTATGTGAACGTATGGGCCAGTATTAAATGCAGCTCTGATCAGAACACAGGACTTTAGTTAAAAGGCCTCCAGACACTGCTTTTTATCACAATTCAGGCTAAGCTAAGCTAGACCCTTTTAACCAAACTCCCAGATGCATAACAGCTGTGAAACAGACTTGTAGTTTATGCTTGCCAGTCTACACTTATGTTGTAGACTGTAATAAAATGTAACATAGGCCCTGAAGTCTAATTCCAAAACCTTATAAATTAGACACCTAGAACTCCAGGATGAATAGCACAGCAATAACCGACAATTTATTTGGTTCTGCTGTTGTGTTAAAGGAAAAATCATCATAATTTAGATGAATTTTCTAGTTCTTCTCTTTATAACCCCATGGATTCCCAAGGTACCTGGAAAAGGCACAAGAAGTTGTAGTCCAATCTCTGCCTGCAACCAGGGCAATACTGGTTCTGTTACATGTATTATATTTCCCTATATACAGATATTTAAAAACATCTAGTTTGGACTTCAAACAAAACAACTAAGAAAAAAAAGAAAATAAATTTAATACAGAAATCCAAGATAAACCTGTAACCAGAAACTGCCTATTCCTAGGAATAACTTAGAACTTAAAAGAATGTTGAAGATACCCATCTCAGTACTTAAAAAGAAGTGACCCACATGATGCACACTAAGTGTTTAGCTCATTTCTGGACAATGACTATTAGATTACTTATTGATGAAAGCAGAAAAAAACTGCAGGACAACTTTTTTAACTCCTGTTCCTCATTCTGAACTGTCTGGCATTCCAGCAGCTTAAACTATTAATTATGGTTCTGTGGTTATGTGTGTGTCAGGGGTAGAGTTTATATATGATATGATTTTAAAGTGTAGTAAAGTTTATTTTTACACACACACAAAACTCTTTTTTTTCTCTAGCATAATACAACAAAAATGGTATCAGTTCTTAAATTAGTAGTTAAGGTTAAAAACTATATTTTAAAAGGGTGAGCAAGTGAAGCAGTGGTATTCACTGGACACTATGCTGAAAACAAACTATACACTTTGTGGGAGGAGATGGGAGGAGAAAAAAAACTGGGAGACAGAACAGGGAGGGTTGACATTGTTTAAAAAGAAATGTACTCTTTACCTTATGTAAAAGTAACCCCTCTGTACATCATCTTTATAATAACAGTAAAAATATTTAAAAACCTAGAACCATCCCCCCCTCCAGAAAAAAAACCTATAGATTAAGAAATAAAATAAAAATAAAAAGACAAACTGAAAACTGGGAGGAAAAAAAACCCAGAACATATATAAAAGGACTAGTATAAAAGTATATAAAACAAATCTTAAAAACCCAACAAGAATAAAATGAACAATTCACTTAAAAATGACTAAAAAAGCACAGTGGAGAGTCTAATATATCTAATATATACTTTAAGCATTTAGTAAACTTTGTGTTCCCTTTCCTGAGTAGAAAAAGAATCTTACTAAAGAAGATTTACAAATAGCAAACAGGCACCTGAAAAGATGTTCAATCTCATACACCGAGGAATTGCAAATTAAAACATGAGATACAACAGAAACAGCCAGATTCATCAAGGAAAATATCTTACGCCTTGGAGTCATTAAGGTTTAAGATCAAACCTCCTCCCACCAGGAGACTTTCAATATAGCATAGCTGTGAACTTACCATGGCCATCTAAAACAGACACCAGTTAAATATAGGTTGTTGTTCTCACAGTGATATGAATTGAATATGCTGTTTGTGCATGGCAAGTATATTCAGTATGCTAAATCTATAGATTTTCCATTTCTCTATTATTCATTTAAAATACTATAATTATTCATATAGCAAAACCTTTATTTTTTATGTATATTAGTCCTGGGACTTGAATTCAGCGCCTGGGAGCTGTCCCTGAGTATTTTTGATCAAGGATAGCTACCACTTGAGCCAAAGCTCCACTTCTGACTTTTTGGTCATTAATTGTAGATAAGACTCCTATGGACATTCCTGCCCAGGCTGGCCTTGAATCATGATCCTCAGTCCTCAACCTCCTGAGTAGCTAGGTTTATAGGTGTGAGCTATGGGTGCCTGGCTAACACTTTACTTTTATGATTTTTTTGTTTTTTTGTCAGTTGTGGGGCCTAAACTCTGAGCCTGGGCACTGTCCCTCAGCTCTTCAGCTCAAGGCTAGCATTCTACCACTTGAGCCATAGCACTACTTCTGGCTTTTTCTGCTTACGTGGTGCTGAGGAATTGAACCCAGGGCCTCATGCATGTGAGGCAAGCATTCTACCACGGCGCCACCTTCCCAGCCCAACACTTTACTTTTAAAGGACAGATTTTCATTAATTTTTTTTATTGCTCTTTCATTTAAAAGAATAACACTGAATGACTTTGATTGGGATATTCTAACCCTTGTCATCTTCTGTTCCTGATAATGGAAGCCTATCAACTTAATTTCCTGCCAAGTGAATTTCCCAAGTCATCATTTAAATTAGACAGAATGACTTTTTGGTTCTCTTCCGGTCCATCAATCCACTTTCAACACAAAGCAGCTATAGAAGATGGATCATCACGCCTCTGTATTCCTTTTAAGGTTAAAAGGGACCAAACTTGTTTAGAAGGTAAATTAAGACAGGACTGATAAATAGGCAAGGAGACAGGGAAATATTACTTTTAAAATAAATATCCAAAAGGACAGACTCAAAAGTTAAAATCAGGAAATCAACCGTATCTCCTTTTTAATGTTAGGTTACAAGATTAGGAGAAACAGCAGAAGCTTTCTCAATATTCTTTCACTGAAATGATTATAAAATTCTGGAAACTTCCCAAACCCTTCCAAGACAGAGGGGAAAGGGCATATGTGGCAAAAGGAAGTCCTAAAAGTCATTTTGGCTTTGAGTGGGCCTGTCATCTTCCCCAAACCGTTATCTAAGGGTTAGAAGCTGTTAGACTGATAGGACCACATGTATTTGCCTAGCTCAAAAAGGACAAAAGTAGCAGAAGATCACAATAGCTCAATAGCTATGTACCTATGACCATATAAAAAGATGTTAATTGAAATGAACTCCAAGATATGGAAACAAGAGAGGTGTTTTTTTTGGTTGATGTCATTGTTTTTAATGTACTGTATGAAGTTCGTTCTTTCTTTTTTTTCCCCCCCTTTGGTTTATCCCCTGTAGTCACTGCTTTTGATTTTGGTAACTTGTGTCTTGTATATACGTTTATAGGATTTGGGGATGGGAAGGAGAATAGCGAAATGGGGAAACAAGGACAAAGTATGAACTAATGCGAGAAAAAGGAGGAGCAGTAACAATGTTTGACAAGAAATGTACTCATTACCTTACTGATGTAACTGTAGCCCCTCTGTACATCACCTGGGCAACAAAATAAAATTATAAAGAAAAAAATAAAATCACGATGGTTTTCTATGCTAAAAAAAGTACACAAGCTACAGAGAAGAGCCATTTTGAGTCTTTAATTCCCATTTCCTCCATGGGGATCAGGGAATGTTTCTGTTTTTCTATTTTTCTCTATTTTTAATCATGTTATACTGAAATAAATCCTTGCTAAAATAAAAAAATTAGATACAACTATATATCAATTATATTTTCAGAATAATTATTGAACCAAATCAATGCAAAGACATAGGAATACAAAATGACCTACTCACTTAGGAAGAACTAATGGGCAGCTTCATACAAAATTAATTATACTTTTACCCTATGATCCTGCATTCTCAATTCTTGGTGATATATATATTTATATATATATTTGTCTACACACAAAATTCCACATATGAAAGTTTATAGCTGGTTTTTTGTTTGTTTGTTTGTTTTGCCAGTCATGGGGCTTGAACTCTGAGCCTGGGCACTGTCCCTCAGCAATTCAGCTCAAAACTAGCATTCTACCACTTGAGCTGCAGCGCCACTTCTGGTTTTCTGGTGGTTTATTGGAGATAGGGTTTCACGGACTTTCTTGCCTGGGCTGGCTTTGAACCGAGATCCTCAGATCTCAAGACTCCTGAGTAGATAGGATTACAGGTGTGAGCCACTGGCACCCAGCTTTTACAGCAGTTGTATTAGTAATTGCCATGGCATATAAGCAAGATATAATTAGTAGGTGAAAGTATAGACCAAATGGCATCTATACAATGGGGTATTACTTACCACTAAAAAATGAGCTACCAAGTTATAAAATATCATGAAAGAAACTTACATGCATATTATAAAGTGAAAGAAGCCAATATGAAAATATGAGTCCAATTATATGACATTCTAGCAAAGGCAATACTATAGAATAAGTAAAAAATTATTAACAGAAAAAATTATATCATGGTTTCCCTCATTTGTAATAACTAAAATATGTCTAAGATATTCTTAGGAGATGACCATATATGAGCATATAAAATGATGCTTTTCGAAATGAAGTCTGAGAAAGAGAACCAAGAGGTTTTTTAAAAGTGTAATGTTTGCAGTTATTTCTTTTTTCTTTCTTTTTTCCCCTTGGTTTATTCCCTGATGTCACTGTTTTGAATTTCCATGCCCTTTGTCTTGTACATAAGTTTATCTGATTTGGGGAAGGAAAGAGGAATCACAGAAACAGTGGGACAGAGGATGAACCAATTTAACAGTGATTCTAGACCCCATGTTAGAAACGAACTTTACAATTTGGCACGAGTGTGGGGGTGGGGGGTTGGGAGGGAAAAAGTGGGAGAAAATGAGGGGGGGTAATACTATTCAAAAAGAAATGTACTCATTACCTGATTTATGTTACTGTATTCACTCTGAGCATCACCTTTACAATAAAATTTAAATTAAAAATTATATGTCAAAAATTGGTAAGGAATTTTACATTTGGTGTTTAACTATGCCATGTTGCTTTATAAAATAATTACCTAGTTTTGACAGAAATGCCACATTTCATGAGATTCCAAATCACATGGAAATATATTTTATTTTAATCAAGATATGTCTTTAACTTAGCAAGAAAATATCTATAAATCACTTTAGTTACTAACCTTATCTAGCATGGTTTTTTAAAAATAATGTAATTTTATTGTCCTATTCATACTTATTCTTTTATACTACTACTGGGGATAAGCAATCAAATGTGGTGACTGTGGTGTCAGATATCTCAAGATTTAAGGCATTTAAGAATGATTTCTGTGCATTTCCTCTACAACTTCTAGGGGCATATGGTTAAGCAGCTGTTGTTACTCTTAGGGCTGTTGCTAGGGAACAAAAAAATCAGGGTGATTTCCCTAGGCTCTGGACTTTAATGAGCATCATTTAAATTGAGTACTGGATAACATGATTCAGAAAGCATTCAGAAGGTAGAAAGAAACAAAGCTAGCAGCTGGCTCTTAAAAAAACAAAAAGAGTGATGTGGATGGGGAGGGAATGGAGCTCATGTAGATATGGTTAGGACAAAGAAAATTTTCATTTTTCATTTTTCAATGTTACACAATACTGGAAATGGATCCTTTGGCACTACTTTTTCCTTTTAAGTAGTTCTTGATATTGAGTAAGAATACAGTATGATAAACCACTCTGAATAAGATTCATAAGTTTAACCTCTGGAAAAAGTAAAAAGTATAGTGTTCCAACCTTCTCCCATCCTGCTTAGGGTAAAACGGACATGGAATATGGTAAGTCAGAAAAATGATACAAATTTTACAAGGACATGACAGTCATTCTATAAGGTATTAAGCAAGTCACATAGGAAGCGCTGTTTGTGAGGCTGTGAAGGCAGACTGATTTTAGTTTGAATATTGATTACTTCCAGATCTTGGGGAAATTACTCTAAGCATCAGCTTTATTTTTTCATATGAAATGTGAGAAAATGATCATAATAATACCTTAATAGTGCAAAAAGCCACTATTCTAAATGATAATATGCATAAAGTTCATTATAGGACCAATAACTGATTCATGTTAGATATTACTTTTGTATTAGCAAAATCATTTTCATCAAGTAAAAAGGACAAACACTCTAATCACCTCTGTGCCATACTTCAACTGCTCTGATGTTCTATTGTTCATGCTGATACTAGCATAGCTTTATCAACAACAGTACCATAAAACTGATCCTGGATCTAAAAGAGATGCAACACATGATACAGTTGCATGCTGGCATTTTTGTATTTTTGCAATGTGCAATATTTTTTAGATTTGTATTTAAGTAGTAACTAAAAATACAATGTTAGTATTTAATTAATATTATTATTCCCCTGACTTTTCAATGACTACTGTAAAAGTTATTTATATTAATATACAATTAAAAATCTTATACTTCTACATAGTACATATTTTGGGGTGTTGTCAACAGTAGGTACCCACAGAAGCTCTGCTGTACAGGAACATGGAGAAAAGGTGCATCTTTCTCCCAAATTTCCCCTTTCCAGTTCACTTGCATTGTCTTGATGGCTGGCAAGAGACAATGTTTCCAATACATAAACTATGAATGTCCAGTGAGATAAAGGCAAGTCAAAACAAAAGCAATGAAATAATATCCAAAGAGACATTTGTAGTGAATCTGATGAAGATCCTATTGGCCAAATATAGGATAATTCAGGAATCAAAAAAAAAATTGGGTTATAATCTATTTCATGACAAAGAATCCTTAGGTCTCCATGAAATCTTAAAAATATGTAAATAAAGAAGCAGGGAAAGTTCTTTCTTAACAAGACAATACCAATTACTAAAAACAGAATGAAGGGGCTGGGAAGGTGGCTCAGTTGTAGAGTGCTTATCTTGCATGCATGAGGCTCTGGGTTCAATTCCTCAGCACCACATAAGCAGAAAAAGCTGGAAGTGGTGCTGTGGCTCAAGTGGTAGAGTGCTAGCCTTGAGCTGAAGAGCTGAGGGACAGTGCCTAGGCCCAGAGTTCAGGCCCTACAACTGACCAGAAAAAGAAAAAAGAAAAAGAAAAAGAAAAAAAACCCAACAGAATAAAATCCCTGCTTTACAACCACCAAAGGGGAAAAAAACAATTCAAGCAAAAACATCAATGGATACTGAATGGAATTTGATAAACAATGGAAAATTTATAGACTCTCCAAGTATATCCCCACATATAACTCAAATACTGTGTGTATATGTTTGTGTGTTATCCATATCTCTAATTCTTCAAATATTAAATTAATTGAAATATAAGAAATAGTATAACCTAAATAGATGTTGAAAGTTAGCCTTTTTTTTCCCAACAAAAGGCAAAAAGACTTCGTATGTCTTTGGATGTGACACCCTGCAATGGACACAACATAAATTATATTGTATTCTAGACAAAGTCCATAATGTGAATCTAATTATGAGGAATTTCAGGAAAATTCAAATGAAACTTTTAAGAGGAGAGAATTACTGTCCCCCCATTCCCAAATCACCAAGACAATGAAAGCCAAAGAAAGATGAGCAAATACTGTAAGAAATGTATACAATTTTCCCTAAAACGATTCAATAACATTGAGAGGTGTGATTATGTAGAAGAAATAATAAAGTGAGGTGGGAGAATGTGAAAAATTGGTGAATTTGGTCAAAGGGCATGCAAAAGTTATTGTGATTAATAGATACAACCTAACTATAACCAGATATCTAATAGTTAAGGAATCCAAGCATAAAAATGTGAGAAACCTTGTGTTTGAGTTCAGGAATAACTGCTATCCCTATAATACACTGAAAAATACCACTTAAGGAAAGAGCATTATCAGTGTAGGGGACCCAGTGAAGAAAAACATCAAAATATTAAATAAGAGATTTTTCTGCCGTGTTTAATCAGGAAATTTTATTTTTAAGATCAGATAACTTTTTTACATCAAGATAGGAAAGAAAAACTTCATGGACTACTGGACTATTTCTGGTGTGTGACTTAGCCCTTAAAGTTTCTGTCCATGTATATAAAGCATGTAGCCAGTAACATTATTGTTTTGCTACAAACTATCTACTTAATACTTTGTGCCAAGCACTCACCTCCTTGCTGGCAAACAGATTTAGAGTTCAAGCTTAAGCCTATCAGATCCAAAGCTCCTATTCTTAACCACCAAACCACATGCCCAGAGCTGTTAGAAAGACTGCTGGCAGAGATGTTTTACCATCTGTTCTTTCACCCGCCATTCTCATATCTTTTACCTCTGTCACTGTTTATACCTTTTTGTTGGTCCCAGACATACCTGCTTTTTGAGACTACTGCTCTTGTGAAAAGCAAGCAGGCTTTGAAGTGGAAGGCTACCTAGATCAAACTTCAGCACAGAATCTGATTAGTCAATAAACTCTTATCCTCTATTTTGTCATCAGTAAAATAATTATAATTTTTATCCCATTTACTTAGGATAACAGTGGAGAACATAACCTATAATAGAAAGTTTACACTAAATGGATTTGTATCCATTCTTTCCATTCCTTTTAAATGATAACTTTTACTTCTATTTCTCCATTCTAGAGTACTTTTGATTATTTTGGATTTAATAATCTGAGTAGTCATATCCTGATCCTAAATTAAGTTATCCATGACATTTGAAGAGATACCATTAACTTTTACTAGGGAAAAATAGCAACTAGTAAATATATAAAGTAAGTTAAAGTTAACAGTCATTAGATTGATACAATATATGCAAAAGCAGTTTGGCAAATAAGGTCAATCATGAATAATAGATATACCTTTCCTGGCATTTACATACTATCATCTTAAACATTAAAATCCATTAAAAATGGGAAAAGACACCAACTTCTTACTAAAAAGGATATGTAAATGGTAAATTGGTACGTGATAACATGGGGAAGATTACAGGCCAGCTGAGCATAAAGAACAGGACATTGGTAGATTACCTGCCTTGAAAGTGCAAGGCCAGGAGTTCATTCCCAGTATAGCCAAAGAAAAAGAAAAACAGAAAAGTGCTCAGTATCTGGACTATGGAGTGAGGTACATAAATCTACACAGATCTTTATATACACATATAACTAGCTCAAATAAAGACTAAAATCTAAATCCAAAGTAGGTAAACTGTGTCAATACCAATATCCTGGCTGTGATAGTATAGTTTGCAAAATATTAACAGGGAGGTTGAAGCGTTTGGATGATCTATCTGTATATATTTCACTACCATAATGCATAATTTTCTACACATACACAAAAAACTAGAAAAGGGTAAATTTACGGTATGGAACTTGAAGTGGGTAAACTTACGGTATGGAAGTGATATTTTAACAAAACTGTTTTTAGTCATTTTTTATTGTTGTTGTATTTGTGGTGCTAGGGCTTATACTCAAGGCCTTGTGTATGCCAGACAAGCACTCTACCATTGAACTATATCCTGTGTTCCAAACAATTTTTTAAAAAGAATTAGACTTTAATGAATGTTCCAAAATGAATAAGCAAGAACACAGCAAGTCTGGTGTGATTTGAGTTTATTTAGATAGCTTCAAATACATTTCTAATGTAAATTTCTAATATAAATTATTTCTAATATAACTGGAAAAACTTACTTTATTAATATTTTATATGTTTTCATATAAAATATTTTATATATCTTAATATTTTTATTTAAGTCCTTAAATTCTTATATACACTTGCTTCATTCAACTAACAATAGTCATTATTAGCAGCAATTATTTATCCACTAATACTTAGTGGGATAACCAATTAAAAAATCTAAATGTAAATATTTAAGTCTTTTTGGTTACCTTTAAATAAATTTCTAGTTTATTATGTTGAAATTAGAAAACACAGACTAATGATTGCTTTAGAGAAATGTAGAGATATATTCTTGATGCTGACAAAGTGGAGGGTGAATCTAAAACCTCAATTATTCTATAATCTTAAGTTTTGTGTGACCTTAAATATTTCAAGTAAGGTTCTAATTTTCTTGTTAAAAATATAGAAAATTATTCCTAACTTATAGAGTTGCTGAGTCTTAACTAAAATAATTTATAAAAATCATCTTTTAATGGCTAAAGAATGTAATGGCTGGGTCAATTTTTAAAAAATGTAACACAAAAAACTGAGAAGCAGGTATACTAGTCAGACATATTTTTAGAAACAAAGAACTACAGTTTTAGTGTAAAAAAAAATCTGTTGCAACACAGCACATAGAAACTCCTACCTAGAGACTACTACAAATTAAACACTAGCAATAGCTAGACATTGGTGGATTGTGACTGTAATCCTAGCTACTCAAGAGCCTGAGATCTAAAGATCCCAGTTCAAAGCCAGCCTAGGCAGAAGAGTCTATAATATTCTTATCTCCAATGAACCACCAACATACTGGCTCATGTTTTCCACTCCTTGAGTGGAAAAGCTAAAGGACAGTGCCTAGGTCCTGAGTTTAAACCCTGTACTGGTACAAAAACGAAATCAAATACCAATTTACTAAAACTGGTAAGAATAGTAATAGTACTATCTACTGCCAATAGATCATTTCATTTCTAAAAGAGGTTAATGTTTGCCTTTTCCCAGAGTGTAGTATTTCTATAAAGGAAACAGAATTATTTTTCAGAGCATTTGTGTATCTATTATAAATGTATCTGCAGAATATCAAGCAGTTTTAGTCAATACATCCTTATGCAGTAAATTAAATACCAAATAAGGCATAGCATAAGAAAAGGTAACTGCACTAATCCTTTTAGTAATTCCTTGGCACTAAGCATTCAAATGGCATATGCTTACACATAATGAAGAATGAATTATACAATGCTTATCTATATAAAATCCACACAGTGAAAGATGAAAATAGAAGCAAGGAGGTCTGAAGCAAACAACCTGATTAAATACTTTTGTCTGAGGTCTATAAAGCTCTTTTTGAACGAGCAGTGGTAAATCATTGGCATGTAATGACTGGCAGGCATAAGACTAAACTCATTTAAGTGTCTCATTATAAATGGCTAATTTTCTTCAATATTTCTTATTTAAACACAGGAATTTGTAAACAATGTCCCAGCTCAGATAAAAGTCTAAAATATATACAAAAATATTATCTCTCAAACAAATTTTATTCAATGTTAAAGGTAAGGAATTTCATAGACTTTTAAAAAGGATTTTTTGGCACTTCTAAGTCGAGAGTACCAACTTGATGTCTGGTTATTTTAGGTTTTAAACATCTTTAGGTTATATAAAGTAATACTATTCAATGGCATAAGGATGTGAGAGAGTTTCTGACAAAATAGTTTCTATGACACATTTAAACATCAGATTTGTAGCCTAGCATTTTATTTCTTCATATCCCAAAGAATAGACCACCAACGTAGTTTAGATAGACAAATCTTAAAAAGAAAAAAAAAAACACCCTGATAACGAATCGCATTGCCAAAATTTAAAGGCAACAACTATAGAGAAATGAAAGAAGGGCAAGTCCATGAGGAGGTCTTTCTAAGAAGAAAAGGCAAACAGCTAAGTACCATGGGGTCACAAGGTGCACTGAACACATAAAAAAGCCCTCACTCATTAAATTTAAAGATCTGGTTCTGCAAGAGTACTTTTCCTTACTAAAGGGTATGTGATTTGTAGGTTTTTCTTTAAATTCAGATAGGTTTACAATATTATTTTGTTTTCCGAAGATTTTGTTCCTGTACTATAATTTGGTACTGTTCTAAACAATATAAAACTGAAGATTTGTTATTGATACATAACTAAAAATCAGGAAATATTTAACTTAATTTCTTCAGATGTTCAGTAAGAAATGTTCTATTTGCCTGTTTTAAATTCCAGAGAAATTTTCCACACTTCTCATCACTCTCATTTTTAATTATATTGCTTCTTATTTAAATCTACTACTATGTAACCAGCAATGGACAATCTGAACAACCTGAATAGAAAAATGAAGAAAATAATTCTATTTATATGACAAAAATAAAATACTGAGGTATTAATCAAGAATGCAAAAGAATTTTACAATGAAAACTGTACTGCTGAAACACAAAATACAATAAATAAATGAAAAAACTGTACTTCGGATTAGAAAACAGTATTGTTAAGATGTCAATACTACATTAAAAAAAACAAAGACAATAAGGGAGATCTTGCTTATGTGAGGTACTCAAAATAGTCAAAACCACACACAGAATATAGAACAGTGATTTCCAAGGACCTAGGAAAGAAGTAAGGCTGGACATTTACATGGTGAGACTTGTCATATTCAGGTGGATGGGAAGCACCTGAGATATAAGAGATAAACTGGAAGAAACACAGGCAGTCACATTGGGTCACAGCCAAAACTGTGTCATAACCCAAAGACTGTACTTTATTTTTCTAGAAAGGTTATATGGACCACTGACAAAAGCTGTGCTGGTGATGAGTAGTCAGGCCATACAAAAAGAAGATGGCACCTTCCAAATAATGCTTAAAAGAAATATCCAAAGTATGTCTGTAAAACACCTTACAAATCCCAATTTGATCACATCAACACAATGACTACCACTGCCTTTTCATTATATCTGTACTTACTCTTGGCTCTTTCGTATCTTTTCTCCTTAAAAAATCCCAAACCTCTCAGTCTAGTTGGAAGCCATTGGTTCACACCTGAAATTTCTGCAACTCCAAAAAGCTCAGATACAGAGGATCAAAGTTCCAAGACCAGCATGGGCAGAAAATATATGGGGCTCTGTTTCCAAGCCAGCAATTCTATTCCTGGGCATATTTATCCAACAGACCACAAACAAGGCCACACTAAAGCTATCTGCATGACCATGTTTACTGCAGTATTGTTTACCATAGCCAAGATATGGAATCAACCCAGATGCCCCTGAGTGCAAGAAGGGATCAAGAAAATGTGACATATATACACAATGAGATTCTACTTACCCATCAGAAAGAATGGCACGGTATCATTAGTAAGGAAATGGAAAGACTTGGAAGAAGTTATATAAAGTGAAGTAAGCCAGACCCCCCAAAAGGTAAGTTACATAGTTTCCCTCATTTGTAGTAACTAGAATGTGCCTATAAATCTACAAATAGAAACACTGGACGGTTACACAATACACACACACACACACACACACACACACACACACACACACACACACACACACACACACACACACACACACACACACGGACTTAGGAGAGGAAGACAAAGGTGCAATACCTGTGTGCATTGATCATGTAAAATAATATTTACCTAAATTCCAGGAAATGGAAATAAGAGGGTTTTTTCTTTGTGGCTATTTTTCTTTTCCTGTTGTCTTATTTGTTTATTTATCTGTCTTTGGGGAGTAAAAGGGGAAGGGGACACAGAAATGCTAGTACAAAGAGTAAACAAATTCAGCAGTGGTTCTCAGTAGACTCCTGAAAATAAACTATACAATTTGTAGGTGGGGTCATAAGGGAAAAACTGGGAGACAGTGAGGGAAAGAGTACATTGTTCAAAAATGTACTCTTTATCAGACTTTTATAATAACATTAAAATATAATTTTATGAAAAGAAAGCAAAAAGCCAGGCTAGAGCCATGGTTCAAGTGGTCAGAGTGCCAGCCAAACAAGCCAAGCAAGCTTGATGCCCTCAGTTCAAAACTTCCTCCCTCCAACCTGCCCTTTGCTCTCTTGAAATACTCCTACTTCAGCCTCTGAAGTGCTGAGATTACAGGCATGAACCACCACTCCCCAGCTTGATCAATATCAAACATATGAAAGGACAATGGATAAAAGTATATCAAATTAATGTACTCATTATCTTGCCCATGTAATTGTAACCTCTCTGTACAGTATTTTCACAATAAAAAAAAGTATATCAAATTGTGACCCATCTGCTCATGCAGACCATAAAGCATACACAGGCCTCTCATATGCAAAGCATTTCAAGAAAAATATGAAAGGTAAACAAAAAATGAAATTCGCCTCTTCAGATAATTGGAAAACCCTTCCTCAGAGATAAAGCTAGTATACATTTGCTTATTCCTCTACGATCTAGCATTTTTCTTTGGCTATAGGCAATTCTGTTGGACACAATTCTTCTCAGTTTTTATTACTCAAGTAATTAGCCAGGAAATGTGCAGCAGGTGGTTCCAAAACGTCATCCAGAGATCTTTGTCTCCTGAGATTCACGCCCTGTGTAATCCTCGCCGTGTCTACTTTGAGTTGGACTTAAAGTCATTACAAATACATCATGGGCAGTAGTAATGGGATATTATTTCTGAGAATAGGTTGTAAAATCTTTAGGTCTAGGATGTTCTTTTGTATTGCATGTGTTGGGAAGCTGGCTGCCTCATTTGAATGATACCAAGAAGGGACCCATGTGGTGGAGACTCTAGGTCTACCAGCAACAGGAGGGATAATCCTGCACAAGGAAGCATATCCTGCACCATCTCAGTAACCTTAAGACTAGATCACAACCTCTAACTACAGCTTGACTGAAATCTTGTGAGAAGAATGAGAAACCAGTTTGTTAAACTGGACCCCAAGCACTGGCTTGCAAAAACAGAGATGTTTCTTGTTTAAGCTGGGCGAAATTTGGGGGTAATTTGTTAATTAGCCATAGATCACTAATGAAGTATCTTACTAGTGTGGAGGAGATTCGGTTTCAGGAATACAGTTAGTAAACTCCAAATATTAAAAAAAACAAGTGAGGGGAGAAGAGGACTGAATGTGGTGATTTTAATCCTTACATTCCTGGCTCTGCATGGCGAAGAGCTAGAGTTTGAGGAAAGCTTGAGGTAAATATCAAGATCCGGGTCAGCCTGGGCTACACAGCAAGACCCTATCTTAGGCAAAACAAAACAAAAGCTAATAAATAAGTAAATAAATAGGAGAAAGAAAGATGAAACAATAAATTGGCTCCATTTGCCAATAAAGGCTATGATATATGCATTGGGGGAAAAACAGCATCCTTAAAAGTAAAACATATATATACATATATACATATATATATATATATATATGTATATATATATATATATATATATAAATCGCGTATAAAAGAAGTTTGACCGGATACATATAGAATATAAAACTAAAGCCTACACCATATTAAATGAGTGAGAAGTGGGATTTATGTAGTTTCACCGAAAAAAAAATACAAGCACCTATCACACGAGAGACTGGAGAAACAAGACAGAGAAACAAGGCAAAAGAAGAACTTCGCAAACTTTCCAATCGGTATTTGCCTGCTGCAGTCAGTAACCATCAGGACCCGCCGCGTGTGCGCACTCACATTACTCGAGAGTAGGAAAACAACAACAACAACTTCTGTCTAGGCGGCCACTTAACTACCCGAGAGCAACACGTGGGCCCGAGCAAAGTAACCCTCGTTGTTGGTCCACTCTTTCGGAATGACCCAAGGTCACTACCTAGAGACACCCCCAGCTGACCTATCCCTCAATGGCCTAGAAACTCATCTCCTCCCGCCTCGTGATAGCGAATCTTCCTTCTAATAAGTCACCTCGGCTGTCAATCAACACGCTTTACACGGTCATTGGTCGTCAATTCCTGCAGGTCGGTCAGTCTCAGCCAAGTGCCCGGCGCCAGGCTGTCTTTATTTCCGAGAAGAAAAAAAAAAGAAAGAAAGAAAGAAAAAGAGACAGTGCAAGCAAAAAGAAAAAAAGAAAGAAGAGAAAGGGAAGACATGATCCGAGCCGACGGCCGTACCTGAGCGACCTGCGATCTCCACCGCCGCCGCGACGAATCGGCCTCTGCGCGGGAGCCTTCCACCAGACCGAAACTGTTCAGCCCGGAACCGGTGCCCAGGCCATGGAGAAGCCGGTCCCAGTCTGACTTGCTCAGGCCGGTGAAGATGACGGCCACCGAAGCACCCGCAAGAGCGCCCGGACCCCTCGAACTCGGAGCACCCGCCAGTCAGAGATGCCCACCGCCGGGGTTTTGACGTTTCCTATGTTGCCGGAAGTGACGCAGGGAGCCGCCCCTGAAGAAGAACCAGGTCCGTCCTCGGCTCCTCAGATTCGCCACGGATGCCTTGACGGTGTTTGCCGTGTATTCCCCGCGAGGCTGACCACTGAAGGCACACAGGCTTCTCTCTGGCGGCGTGACGGAGGACCAGCGAATGAGGCCTCGCTCCGACGGGCCGATTCCCCTCCGCGGTCGGGCAGGGCGGTGTGTGGAATCTGCGGCCTGAGCGCCCGCCGCTCGGCAGCGCCGGCCGCGGTGCGTGGCGGGCCGGCGCCCGCCGTTCCCAGTACAAACCGTCGGCGCGAGAGCCGCGCGGCCGGCGCCCGGCGTCTGGGAGCAGCTGGCCGGGGGCGCTCAGCCGCGGCCTCCGGGGACTCCCTCCCTCCCGCGGCCCTGCCGGCGCAGTGCCCGCAGCCCGAGCGGCTTTCTCCCAGCGAGCCCGGCCGCGGCCCTCGGGAGGCGCCAGGGAGGGGCGGACGGCCGCCGGGCCCTCTGCGTGCCGTCCCGGCGGCGGGCCGGGAGCCCGAGGCGGGCTTCGTCTGCCTGCCCGAGCGGTTCGCGTTGTTCTGAGGCTTTGTCTTTTTCATCCGAACGCTTTTTGCTCTTGGATTTTTTTCCTCCTGAACTTTTAAAAGAAAGGTGTGCAGGGGGTTATCATGTAACTCGTTCGTTTCACGTCCGGTGCTGCGCGATCGGGGTCGCCCCCCCCCCTTCTTCTTAGTGTTTGGGGTTTTTTGGGGGGTACCCTCAGTTTTGTGGCTCAGGACTGGTGTTTCAGTGCTGTACCACTTAAGCCCCAGCTCCACTTCTGTGTGTGTGTGTGGGGGGGGGGGGGGATGGAAGGGGGGTAGAGAGGAGAGGAGAGGAGAGGAGGAAAAAAGAGCCGAGTGTGTGGTGGATTGGAAATCAGTCTCCAGTGTCTGGATGACTTTCCTGCCCCAGGCTGTCTTTGAACCGCGATCCTGAGACTTCAGCCTCCCGAAGTAGCCAGGCTCACAGTACCTGAGCCACCGGTGCTTGGTCCTTCCTCTCTTTCCCGTTTTGATCATAAAGTCACGGGAAGAACTGTGGCGGCTCATCTGTACAGAATTGGTTTGTGGTCTAGGGCTGGGATATGATACACTGATTGGTTCCCGTTGGATCTTCTGAACTGAGATCCATCGAGTTGGTTCAGAATGCTACATAGAAGGCTTAGTAAGTACTGCTTGTTTTCCTGGCTTGTGTTTTCCAGGGGTTTCAAATATTTCTCCTCCTCCCTGGAGGGATACGTAATTTTCCCTCACTAGAAAAATCAATCTTAATGAACTTTAGTTTTTCAGATTATGGCTAGACTATTTTAGGATTATGGCTAACCTATTAAAAGAAATATTTGCAACCCTTTTAATGATTGCAAATAAGACCACAAGAGCCACTAGCTCTACTTTCCTAATCTTTTCAATCCTAGTTAAGCTTTTCTTTCCTATTTTGTAGAAAGTTGAATTAATTTTTATTGATCTCTTTTGGGCGGGGGGGGGGGGGGGGGGGGGGGGGGGGGGGGGAGCAGGAGGGAGCAGTCCACTGGTTATTTTGAAATAGGGTCTCTCTTGTCCTCTCCCCAGACTGGATGAGTTAGGCTTACCTGCATAGCTGGGATGACTAACTAGTGTCACCTTACACCTCTTCATTGAGAAGGGGACTCCACAAACGTTTCTGCTAGGGTTTGCCTCTAGTATGATCCTCCTGATTTCAGTTATGTAGCTAGGATTGCAGGCATGAACCATTTGGCTTTTTCTCTACTTCTGATACTCAGTTTTAAGTTAGTGTAAAAGGTTAGTGTAAGCTATCTGTTGTAATTATTAGTCAGCTTCATTCAGAACAACAAAATATATCGAGTCCAGTGATCCAGTGATACCTGAATGGGAGACGTGATTTTAATGATCTTCACAACTTCATTTTTAAAATCAGTTGGACAGATTTATAGCCAACTCTGAGGAACCTAGGCAACACTATAAAAACACTCTTTCCACTTCCCTCCTTGTCTCTTCCCTCCCACCCTCCCTCCCTCCTTCTCCTCCTCTCTCTTCCTCTCTCTCTCTGTCCATCTCTCCCTCTCTCCTTTCTCTCCCACCTCTTTTTCTCTTTCCCTGTCTCTCTCTTTCTGTCCCTTTGACTGTCTATCTCCCTTTTAAATTTAGCATGCATTAGCTGTGACATCTCCATGAGTGTTTACATTGTATACTATTCAGTCTCCTATCTGTCTCTTTTCCTCCTCTTCTAGTTTGTAGTTTCATACATGTGGACTGTCTACTTAAACTATATTCTTCCTCTAGTAATATTAAAAGTTTCTTAATGATGGAATCTGTACTATAAACTGCATAATATCTCTTTTTATGTGTTTCATGGTGACAGTAAAAATATTAACCCTTTTCAAAGTAACAATATAGGCCATTTCCTTTAATTAAGAATACTATTAGTAAATAACAGATTTTATCAAATGCCTTTTTATATGTATTGAAATTGTTATTTTTTATGTATTTAATTTTACTGATCGATTCTATTATGGATATACTTAGGTTATAATTTATTACTGTTCTTCAGTTTTATGTTTAAATTGTCTACCTGGGCTGGCTTTGAACCTTGATCCTCATATCTTGCCTGCTGATTAGCTAGCATTATAGGTATAAGCCACCAGAACCTACCTTAAACTTGATTTTTTTTTTAACAAAATTTTTTTTCTTGTTAATAAAAAAGCAACAAATTGACAATTAGGTGATGTCAGAGCTCTGGGAATAATGATTAAATCTGCACTAATTTCCTTATCTCTACTATTTTGCTAATTGTATTGCATACTTTTCTAAAAGCATAAAAATAGTTATTTATGGAAGTCATATGATGTAAGTGTTCTATGAAATACATTATAAGGACAAATGAAAATAGTCAAGCTTAATTTTTTGTTCAGGAATTTATAATAGATACAGGCAGAATGTACTTGATGAATACAAAGATACTAAGTTCAGAGATAGAGCTAGTATAAGATAAATATGTAAGTACTTATAAGAATCTGTACAAAATAAGATTGAGAAGCTTCAAAACATATTTAAGCAATTTTTAATGAATTTTTTTCCCTAGGTGGAAAGTTAGAAGATTTCAAGAGTTGGAGCTGAATCTAATGTTACATCATGGCAACAGGTGACTTAAAGAGAAGCTTACGGAACCTTGAACAAGTGCTTCGTGCACTAAATTATCCTAAAGAGGTGGATTATGTAGGGTAAGCTGTAATATAAAACTTATTTGTATTCTTTTTGCAAATAATTTGAGATAGCATATAATTCGATAGGAATCTCTTAAGGAAAAAATAAAGATTTTTGTCTGAGTACTAGTTAAACTTTTTTAATGCTTAAAATATTTGAGAAAGCACAGCTGGATATGAGTCGCTCGCATTTGTAATCTTTGCTACTCAGGAGGCTGAGATCAAGATCATCATTTGAAATGAGCCCAGGCAAAAATGACCATGAGACTCTCTTATCTCTAATTAACCAGCAAAATTCCAGAAGTAGATCTTTGGCCCAAGTGCCAGCCTCAAGCAAAAACAGCAAAGGGGTAGTACCCAGGACCTAAGTACTGTGTGAGAATTAGCAAAGACATGAGTAGCTAACTAGAAAACAGAACATCTGTTCTGTCTGTCTCCCATAGATACTGATTTCAATGAAGTCATTCTGACTGACATCACTGTGGAACAGACAGTTGAAGATAACCTTATGGAAGTCAAGATTAGGCAACTGATTCATAAAGAGTGACAATCAGATAGAAGAGTAGGACACTTCTAAGCTTGAGAAATTAGCAAAAGCTAAGAAGTTACAAATTTCATATGAGCAGTAAAACTACTTAACCAATCACAATATAAGCTTTTTCCAACCCTATTTTCCTGGTCTCTAACATATTTCATAAAAATTTACCTTTGCAAGTTTGTCTAGAGAGCAAATGAAGTAATATAAGTAGTCTTTGAGAAGTGGTACATCGGAGCAAATGAAGTACGCCAAGTAACACTGAGCTTTAGAAAATCTGTAGTTGAGTATACTGCTGGCACTAATGAGCTGTCATTTTCTGAGTACATGAGCAGATGAGCAGCATTACTTCATAGTAGTTTGCCTCTAGTGATTTAGATCAGGAGACAGCATCTGGAGCATCATGCATTATCTAATTACTATGCTTGTAATGTTAAGTTTATATTTTTCACATTTCTAATACTTCCTTGACTATCCAACTTTCGGAATTATTTTGTCTTTTTCCCTTATAGTTTGATAAAAGGAGACCCAGCAGCATCTTTGCCCATCATCAGCTATTCTCTAACCTCATACTCTCCGTACCTAACAGAACTTCTGGTGGAATCTGATGTGGATCTTGTAGGAAAGAATGACATTTGCTTTACCGACACTGTTTATAAGGTATTATGAATATATGAGTTTTAAAGGTTACTGAATGATTTCTTTTTTTCTAATCTTAGCGCTTGAACTCAGGAAGGGGCCTGTGCTTTGTCCCTGCACTGCTTTTTTTCTCAAGACTAGTGTACTTTCCCACTTGAGCCACACTGCCACTTCTGAGTACTTTTTTGAGTAGTTTATTGAGATAAGAGTCTCATTTTCTGTGCTGGCTGGCTTTGAACCATGATCCTCAGATCTCAGTTTTTTGAATAGCTAGGATTATAGGTATCAGCCAGCAGAGCCTGACTTTACTAAATGATTTTTTTTTTCTGGTCCTGGAGCTTGAACTCCTGTAGCTTGAGTGCTATACTTGAGCCTCTTTGTATTCAAGATTAGTATTCTTACCAGTTGAACCACACTGCCACTTTTGGCTTTTTCTGAGAAGTTTGTTGGAGAGAAGAGTCTCACAGATTTTCCTATCCTGGCTGGCTCCAAATTGTGATCCTCAGATCTCAGCCTTCTGAGTAGCTACTGGTGCCCAGCTTGAATAATGTTTTAAATTAAGGTTTTGGTAGTAACTCCTGAAGTGTGCAATCCCCATCTGTTAAATCAGTGAAGATGCATTCTAACAATTGTGTTAATTCCGTCATTGTGCAGACATCAGAATGTGCTCACATAAATTTGGATGGTATATCCTACTGCATTATCTGGCACCTGTGTAGCATATTGTTTTAGGCTACAAACAGAGTAACATATTTCTCTGCTGAATACTATAAGCAGTATTGTAACACAATGCAGTGTATACCTGTATAGTGTTTCATTGTAACTTGTGAGAGAACTTTTGTATATGTGGTCTTTCATTGACCAAAATGTCATGTGTTGCATGATTGTGTATATAGTATGAATAGTTGATAAAATACTTTCATATAGACTATAGACTAAATTTACATTATGAAGTTTGCTACCTTAATAATTACAATATGCCACTGACTGTTATTAACCTGCTTTCTATCAAATTTTAGTAAAGTTTTATAATGGGTAGAAATTATAAATATAATCATATTCAGGAAAAAACTGTAACTCATACAATTCTGAGTTAATTTCATTGTAAGAAGGAACTGAAACTTTGAGATAATTCTTTGAGATATGAGGTCAGGTTTTATATTGACACTAGAATCTACACTTCTATTGAATCTAATCTTAAATATTTAATATGTAGTGTCTGTTATATTTCTGTTTTTTCTTTTTAGCCTGAGATCCAGAAAGCTTATCCAGAAGGCTAAGTGACATTATAAGAAATTCTAGGGATCTACTCTGTACCATTGTAGTCTATTTAGAAATGAAAAATTGATCAAGCCCCATGACCAAAAAATGAAAATTGAGATCAGAAGGCCTTCTGACTTGTGTAAAGATTATGTAGTGGTAGAATTATAAACAAATAGAACTATGACTTTTTTGATATCTGGTATGTTATTCTAATGAATAAGGAGTTTTCATCTCTCTGGTATATCTCTACCTATTTTCTATCTGCATACATTTTCTACTGGTATGACTTAAACCAGCTCTATAAATGTTTTTAGAACCTTTAGTTAATGGCTTGACCATTCTTGTCCTCTCAAAGGTAGCAATTACTGTACTGTCCGGGTGGCAATTTATCATTTTGAATTAAAGAAGTGCTCCTAACTATACTTTTTCTCTTTACAGCTTCTTCGTGATCAGTTTGATTATAAACCAATTTTGACAAAAAAGCAATTCATACAATGTGGGTTTGCAGAATGGAAAATTCAAATTACTTGTGATATTTTGAATTGTGTGATGAAAAAACACAAGGAATTGTCTGGTCTTGATAAGGTGATTTTATAAACAGGTTTTTGTACAAACACCAGGTGGTCCAGTATTTTAGTATATGAAATCAAATCTTAGATTACAAATTATTACACATATAATTTAATGTGCTATTCACAAATTTGAATAACCTTATAAAGTCTCATGTTTGCTTTAAAAACTGGTTTCTTTTACACATCTGTGACTTAGTATTGATAGTCCCAAATTAACAATTTATAGATGAATTTTTCTTCTTAGATGTTTTTGTGTGGGATATTGGGTTAGTATTTTTTGTGGAGTTTTTTGGTGGTGTTGTTTGTCCTGAGCTTCTTTAGCTCAAAGCTAGTGCTCTACGACTCGAACCATAGTGCCACTGTGGCCTTTTATGAGTAGTTTATTAGAGAAAAGAGTCTTAATAGACTTTTCTGCCGTGGCTAGCTAGCTTCAAACTATGATCCTTAGATCTCCGCTTCCTGCATAGCTAGGATTATAGGTGTGAGCTACCAGTGCAAGCTTTTTTGTGTTTTTGTTGTTGTTTATTTGTTTGTTTTTGACACAGAGTCTTAATAGATAGCCTAGAGTGTGACCCTGAGTTTACTGTGTAACCCCATCTGGCTTCAAACTCATCGCCTTAGCTTTCCAAGTGCTGCGGCCAAGATGTATGCTACCATGCCTTACTGATTTTCTTTAAATGAAATGTAGTTTCATTAGAGTTGAATTGTTTGTCAGTTCTATTTTAGAAATGAGTGAGTGGTATTGGAATTTAAATCCATATTATGCTTTTCACAAAATTTGCTATATGTAATACATTTTTTTAAGACCCCATCATGCCAAAGAAAGACAATGGTTTGTGATAAGGCAGAACCTTCTTCAAGCAATGAGAAAGTTGCAGAAGCTGTTGGAATTGATGTCACTAGCAGGTTTATCACTTCAGGAAAGGTATGAAAGAAAAACATGCAGAGAATAATGAATCCAGTAGACAAGTGCATTTCGTAAAACATTTCATCCAAAATCCTGCATTGTGAAAATTTTTAATAGCATATTCTATGTACTATTTGAGTAACATTCCTAAAGATAGAAGAACAGCATAGAAATGTAAAATTGAACAAGATTATATTTCTAGTTCTGAATTCTGCCCCATTTCCTAGGTAAAGTAGTAGTCATTTGGGTAAGTTACATTAGATAATCATGTATATTTACTTTTACTTATATATGTGACCTCCCTAAAACATGGGAATATATAAAGAGCCTTTTATTAATAATAGGGAAGTTTATGGTAATTCACTGAGACACATTGGAATCATTAGCTGAAAGTCTAATATATTGTAATTTAACAGAAAGAAAGTTGTACTGCATCCTATTTGATTATTTGTAAATTATATTATAATATTTTGTTTGTTTATTTAGAAACAGGGTCTGTAAAGCTAGGCCTAGCCTGGGCTTTGTAATCCTCCTGCCTCAGCCTTTGGGCTGAGCAGTCACTGTGAGAATCTTATCTCCAATTAACTATAAAGTCTGAAGCACATTGTACATAAACCTTTGTAGTAAGTGTATAGTGTATTGATTCATTATGTAGTAGCGAACTTTTTTTAATGTTTGAAGAAGAAAGGATATGCTTTTTGCAGAATTACTGTGTGTGTTTAAAATAATTGTGAAGTAAAACTATATTGTGACTATACAGAAAAAAGCTGTGGTGATCCGTCACCTGTACAATGAAGATAATGTTGACCTTCCTGATGATGCAGGAAGTTCAGTAACAGATGTTAGTGAAGAACTTGATTCGGATTGCATAAAGACTACTGAAATAGTAATTCCTGAAATACAAGTGTGTGAAGTCAAGACCCAGCAACAGGTAAGAATTTACAGTGTTATTTTTTTTCTTTCAGTACATCCCTCTATTTCTTATTTTGACATTTACGAATATTTCAGAATTGATGCTTTGGAATACTTCTAGCCTTTTATATTATTAATCATGTCATACTGTTTGTACATTATCATTACTTAAGAATCAATTAGTTGTGCTTGGTGTAGGTGGCTCACACCTGTAATCGAAGCTTCTCAGGAGACTGAGATCTGAGAATCACAGTTTGAAGCCAGCCTAGGCAGAGCAGTCACTGTGAGAATTTTGTCTCCAGTTAACTCTAAAACCTGTAGTGGAGCTGTGACCCAAAGTGGTAGAACACTATCCTTGAGCAAAAGAACTCTGGGACCCACAAACAACCAAAAAAAAAGAAAAAAAGAATGAGTTTTTTGGGGCATAGGGAGCATACACCTGTTATCCTAGCTACTCCGGAGGCTGAGATCTGAGGATCAAATTTCAAAGCCAGATGGGCAGACAGATCCACGAGATTTTTTTTTTCCTTTTTTTTTTTTTTTGTCTGTCATGGGGCTTGAACTCTGGGCCTGGACACTGTCCTTCAGCTCTTCAGCGAAAGGCTAGTGCTCTCCCAGTTGAGCCACAGTGCCACTTCCTCCACGAGATTTTTATTTCCAGTTCACCAACAAAAAGAAGATGGCTGGAGGGAGATTAAGGATGAAAAGTCCAAGCAAGATCAAAAAGCTCTGATTTCAAGCCTAGGTAACAGCACAAAAACAAAAATCTACCAGGTAGTCATTGGGGTTATTTCCTATTATACAGCATACGAATAATCTCAACACTGTGTCTTCTTGGTCATTTCTTCTTAGCTTTATGCTGGGTGTTGTTTCAAGAAGCTATTTTGTTATACTTCTCTTGTATTCACAAGAATCATTAAATAGAAACTGTAGTTATTTCTGTAATTTCTTTTTAGCCAAGGAAATGGAGGTATCAAGCTCATGTACACGACAAACTGATTTAAATATTCAAGCACGCTGGCTCCAGGTAGCTCTATGAACACTCATACTCCTAACTGTGGAAAACAACACAGTGCTATGGGGATTTACACTAATCAGTGTAAGGAAGTAGCAGTTCATATTACGCCTTTAAATTTAATTATGGTCTTTAATCATTTTAGGATATAAAATCTATTCCTGAGATTGCTGCACTTGAGACAATGCTTACTCAGTGCCATGAGAAGCTTCAAAAGTTGCCGTGTATAGAACAAAGGTTGGACATGTTGGAAAGAGCAATTAAAGGAAAAGTGATGGTAGATGAGAAGACTTGGACTAATCTTCTTAGTCGAGTTACTCTTCTGGAAACAGAAATACTCTTGTCTAAGAAGGTATATTCTTTCTCTAATGAGTTCATTGCTGTAATTTTCACAATAGCCAAGTTACAGAAACAGCTGAGATGCCCTACAATGGATGAGTGCATCAAAAAAATGTGGTACCTATACACAATGGAATTTTATTTATCCATTAGAAAGAACAATATTAGGTCATTTGCAGGGACAATGAATGGACCTAGAACAAATCATGTTTTAGTGAGGTCAACCAAGCTCAGAGGGACACCCAGCCACACAGCACATGTTTCCTGTCCTCTGTGAAAGCTCCCATCTAAAATACAACTGGACATGATAACTTATACAGGACTCCAGGCATTCATATACACACAGACTAAAGGAGAATACTCTCTTGGGCTGGGAAGGTGGCTCAGTGGTAGAGCGCTTGCCTTGCATGCCTGAGGCCCTGGGTTCAATTCCTCAGCACCACATACGCAAAAAGAAAAAAGCCGGAAATGGCGCTGTGGCTCAAGTGGTAGAGCGCTAGCCTTGAGCTGAAGAGCTGAGGGACAGCACCCAGGCTCAGAGTTCAGGCCCCACGACTGGACCCAAAAAAAAGGAGAATACTCTCAGGGGAGGAACCCAAAGGCATAACTTCTCTCATCATTTTAAATACTGTTTATCAAAGCAAGTTCCAAGAGATGGAAACGTGGGGTTTTGTGGTGGTGTGATTTTTGCTTTTTTTTTTTTTTTTAGGGGGAGAGAAAGGAACACAGAATGGAGGGAGGAAGGGTGAACAAATGCAGTCATGGTATTCAGTATACACTATGTGGAAAGTAAACTATGCAACTTGTGGGCAGGGATGGGAGAGGGAAAGTGAATGAAAAGGTAACATTATCCGCAAAGAAATGTACATGGGCTGGGAATGTGACTTAGTGGTAGAGTGCTTGCCTAGCATGCATGAAGCCCTAGGTTTGATTCCTTAGTACCAAATAAATAGAAAAGGCTGGAAGTGGTGCTATGTGATAGAGTGCTAGCCTTGAGCATAGAGACGCTCAGGGACAGTGCCTAGGCCCTGAGTTCAAGTCCCAGGACTGGCAAAAAATAAATAAAAACAAAAAGAAATGTATTCATTACCTGACTTACGAAATAGTAACCCCTCTGTACAATACCTTAAGAATAGCAATGAAATTATATTTTTAAAAATTTAAAGCAGATTTGTGAAAAGCACGTATTAATATGTTATATATTATTATGTAAGAGGATATATAAATGTAACATCAATATATAATATTTAGATAGTATGTATAGTAATATATATGAATGAACTCTAACAGTACATTATATTGTATATATTTTATTGTTATTATTAAGGTCTTTTACAAAGGATTACTATTTCATAAAGTGGGTAATAAGTTTAACTCTTTTTGGATAGTGTCATTCCTTCTTTCCCTTTCCACCAGTTTCCCCTCCTATCCCTGTCCACAAGTTGCATACTTTATTTTCCACATAGTGTACAGTGAATATAACAAATAATAAATACTTTCTTAATAGGTATTTCTTTTCTTCACATGTATTTCAGCTATAATCTTTTTAAGTTAGCATATATTAGTTGTACAAGAGAGAGTTCAGTGTGACATTTACACATAAGTAAACTATGTATCTCAATCAGCCTCATCTCTCTTCCTCTCCCTATCTCATTCCCTGCTTTTAAAACAATTCCAATAGCTACAGCTCAAAGTGGTAGAGCACTAGCCTTGAGCAAAAAAGCTCAGGGACAATGTTCAGGCCCTGAGTTCAAGCCCCAGGACTGACTTATCACATAAAATAATATTAAAAATCTATAAATTGAGCTGGGCATCGATGGCTCATGCGTGTAATCCTATCTACCCCGGAGGATGATATCTGAGGATCTCAGTTCAAAGCCAGCCCAGGCATGAAAGTCTGAGACTCTTGTCTCAAATAAACCAATAGAAAACTTGGAAGTGGCACTGTGGCTCAAGCAGTAGAGAGCTCACCTTGAGCTGAAGAGCTCAGGGACAGCGCCAAGCCCAGAGTTCAACTTTTATTACCGACCAAAAAAAAAAAAATTGTAAATTGAGTTAATATTACTGTGTTGTTTACGAAAACCTCTATCTTTTAATAGTAAAAATGGCCTCTTCGGTTTGTAGGGAAAGTTGTAAAAGAGGAATTTTTTGTTGTTGTGGTGGTGGGACTTGAACTCTGGGCCTGGGCACTGTCCCTGAGCTCTTCAGCTCAAGGTGAGCACTCTACTACTTGAGCCACAGTGCTTCTTCTGGTTTTCTGGTGGTTATTTGGAGATAAGAGTCTCACAGACTCTTTGAAATGTGATCCTTAGATCTCTGCCTCCTGAGTAGCTGAGATTACGGGCGTGAGCCACTGGCACCTGGCTAAAAGAGGAACTTTGTTTTTTGCAGCAGTAAAGTTTGAACTCAGAGCCTCATGTTTGTTGGGCAAGGCTTAACAACTTTAACTACACTCCTCACCATTTTTGGGTTTCCTGTTTTCCTAGATGGACTCACTCTTTTACCATGATCCTCTTACCTCCACCTCATTTTTTTTTTTTTTTGTAAGTCGTGGGGCCTGAACTCGGTCTGGGCGCTGTCCCTCAGCTCTTCAGCTCAAGGCTAGCACTCTACACTTAAGCCACAGCGCCACTTCCGGCTTTTTCTGCTTATGTGGTGCTGAGGAATCGAACCCAGAGCCTCATGCATGTGAGGCAAGCACTCTACCACTGAGCCACCTTCCCAGCACCCCCTCCATCTCATTTTTGTGCCATCTTTATATTTTATACTTAGTTGTACAAAGTGAGACATTTTTTCTTTTCATTTTCTTCTAAACATTTCTCGTGCTTTCCAGAATGAGTTTGTGGACTCCAATGCAAGTGAAGAGTACACTTCTAGTAGTGATGCAGAAGTTCTGCCCTTTGGTAAGTTCTTTTTTAACAACAACAAAAAGTTACCTTTAAGTAGTTGTACATTTCACAAAGCAGTTGATGAATACAATGCAGCTTGATCATTATCACCTCCTTCAACATTCTCTCCCCTTCTACCTGCCCTTTCCCTTTTCCTTTTCTTAGCTTTGTTGTATATACAATGAATTCTCAACTGAGTTCCTCCTCCCCTTTTTCATTCGTCTACCCCTCTTGCTAGTACCTTTGGTAAGTTCTTAAACACTGTTAGCACTGGTGTCATGACACAGGGCTTTCAGAAAGGTGCTTTTTATGAGTATTGGGCGATTTTAGCATCTTTGAGCCTTATTTTTTAATGAAAATGCTTCAACAACCACAAGATAATGAACGTAAAAGCTACTAAAGCCAAACTTGTATATCTTAGTACATAATAGATGACTAAATTCTCAAGCTGTTAAAGATATTGTATTCTTTAATTATTGTAGAATAATGCAGTGTTGTAGAGTAACATTTTAATCTAAGTTTAAGTAGTAGTAATCGTGTGTGTGTCTTATGTATAAGGTGAGGAATTGTTGTCAATGTCTTGCATGTAACCCCCCCTGACTGATGCTGACAAAGTGAGTGGAGAATAGAGAAATGTCTTTTCTACGTCACTGAATGTCACAGTGTTGTTTTCAGTGTGACTAATGTAGCAAGAATCTGTTTCCCAGCAACAGTTTTGATTCTTTTGATTTTTGTATTTTTTTTAATGTAAAGGTCTGCATTTTTTTTATTTGTGCCTGTGATTACTATTTGTAGAAGAGGAATATAATAGAATTCATCATGAAGTTAATAAATAAGTATTTAACAGCCACCACCTATTGCATGTAAATAGTAACAACAGTATGTTATAGATCCATGTGCTGGCATTATTTATTCTGACTACTGCATTAACTCATTTAGTTCTTCAAGCAACCATACAGACTAAGTCTTGTCATTATCCTTATTCTAAAGATGAGGAAACCAAGATAGAATGGAAATCAGTCACTATGTCAACAGTAACATAGTTATTAAGTGGTGAAATGGGAGTTAAGGACTCAAAATGGTGTCTCTCATCTTTAGCTTTTACAAATTGTGGAGCTGAGCAACTAGATTTCAGTGTAGTGACTTCTAATCCTTTCAGGATGTGTAAAGTAGGTGAAGTTTACCCAAACTGAAGTGATCTTCAATACTGCCTTTTGGTAGATTTTTACCTTTTCAAAGAGAAGGTAGATTTAGATAGCTGCTCCTAATTCCTAACCTTGTAACTTGCCCTTAAAAAGGAGATTTGTTGGCTGGGGGAAGGAAGGATATCTGCTTTTTCTGATTACTTCCTGCTTTTAACTTGGGGCATTGTTTTTGCTGCTAAATTTAAACGTATGCTTGATACAAGGGATTTATTTGATGGAATGTGATCTTTTTGTGTGTGTGTATGCTCATCCTGGGCTTTGAACTTAGGAACCCGGGCAAAGTCCTCAGTGTTCTACCACTTGATCCAAAGCCCTACTTTTGGCTTTTTTGGTGCTTAATTGGAGATAAGAATTTCTGCTTCTGTAGCTACTCAGCCTTCTGAGTAGCTAGGGTTACAGGTGTGAGCCACTGGCACCTGGCTAGGAATGGGTTTTATCTGTGATACTTTGTGATTGAGTGCTTGGAAAACTTTAACATCGGCAGATCTGAAATGTTAAACTTTTTAGTTCTTTAGAGAAAGAAACCTGTGGATCTTGAATTTTTTTTCATATATGTCAACTCACAATAGAGTATTTTCTGATTCTTTTTCATTTTTCTCCACTTCTTTCTCTTTTTAAAAAAATTAGCTTGGGACAGGATATTTTATTATTATATTTCCACATGCATTTACAAAATATACCAGTCAGTTTCATCCTTTCTATCATTCTCCCTTTCTTGCTTCCCAAAACAGTTTTCATACCTGCAAACTATGAAAATATTTCTACTGTATTCCAGCTCCTTGTTAGCCAAATCTCCTAGTTTTTTTTTGTTTTTTTTTTTTTTTTTTATTTTATTTTTTTTTAATTTTATTTTATTTTATTTGAGAACATACTGTACAGAGGGGTTACAATTACATGGGCAGGATAATGCATACATTTCTTATCAAGCATTGCAGCCTCCTCCTTTGTTTACCCTTCACCTCCCTTCCCAGCCTCCCCCCTCCCCCCCCACCCAATCATACCCCCCCTCCCTCCCCCCCACCGACATTGTAAAGCTGGTTTTGACATGACATTTTGTACTTCTCATTGTTGCAACAGGTCCACCTGAATCCTTAAACGACTTGTTTGTCCCCATCTCCTCCACATGTTCTACTGACATCAAATATAGTGAAAGCGGGGGTTACACTGTGGGGGAGGGACATACAAAGCAACAAAGAAATAATCTTATAAATGCATTAGAAACACATGCATGAAAGAAACAAAAACATTAAAATACATATTTGAGGTTTTTTTTCCTAACATCACATTATCTGACTTTTTCCGCTTGACTCATACCTATACTAGATATTGCAAATAAGGGAAACCATGGGACCTATGTTTCTTTGGGCCTGGCTTACTTCACTTAATATAATTTTTTCCAAGCCTTTCCATTTCCTAACAAATGGGGCAATGTCATTCTTTCTGATGGAGGCATAGAATTCCATTGTGTATATATACCACATCTTCTTGATCCATTCATCTACTGAGGGGCATCTGGGTTGGTTCCATGTCTTAGCTATGGTAAATAATGCTGCAATAAACATAGTTGTGCTGGTAGCTTTAGTGTGGCCTTGTTTGTGATCATTTGGGTAAATGCCCAAAAGTGGGATTGCTGGGTCGTTGGGGAGCTCTATGTGGAGTCTTTTGAGGAACCTCCATACTGCTTTCCAAAGTGGTTGAACAAGTTTACATTCCCACCAACAATGAAGTAAGGTTCCTTTCTGTCCACATCCCCTCCAGCATCTGTTGTTGTTAGAGTTCTTGATTTTTGCTGTTCTAACTGGAGTGAGGTGATATCTCAATGTTGTTTTGATTTGCATTTCTTTTATGGCTAGGGATGTTGAACATTTCTTCATGTGTCTATTGGCCATCCTTCTTTCTTCTTCAGAGAAGCTTCTCTTTAAGTCTTTCGCCCACTTACTTATTGGGCAGTTGTTTCTTTGAGGATTTGTTGTTGGGTGGTTTAATTTTTTGAGTTCCAAGTATATTTTGGATATGAGACCCCTGTCCGTTGTATGGCTAGTAAAGATCTTCTCCCAGTCCGTGGGCTTTCTATTGATCTTGCTAGCTATGTCATTTGCCCTGCAGAAGCTCTGCAACCTTATACAATCCCATTTGTCCAGCCTTTCTTTGACCAAATCTCCTAGTTTTTAAGAGGTATTTATTTTCAGCCACAGAACAATAGTGACAAAATTTGTAGTAGTTTTGAGTCAAAATATCATACCCAATTCATCAATGTTCACTTGTTAATAGATGTCACCCATTTAAAGAAAGAAGTCTACATGAGTCTACATAAGTCTGTAGCTTATGTTTCAAAATAAATTAACTTTTTGTTTAAAACTCTTGTTATCAAACTAAAGATCATATTGTCTTTTCCAGTGTTTTATTTTTGAGACATACTGTAGTACCTAGGCTTGCCTCAGATTCACAGTCTTCCTGTCTCAGTGTTTCAAGTGCTGGGATTGCAGGCATATGCCAGGGAGCCAGGTGCATTTTGCAATTTACATTAGCCAATTTGTAATATCTAGATCTTTGAAAGTAGGTTGTTTTCTTAAAGAACAGTTTCTAAAACTATATTTGATCTGTACTAGTAGCCTTGTTAATATTAAAATATTTGATTTCCTTCCATCTAGAAATACATTTATAGGTACATGACGTAAAAGGAATAGGTAACCTAAAATTTAATTTCTTCCCAGATAGGAAAAGCAATGTAGAGGGGACTGCGAATGTCCCTCATTCCTCTGGTTACAGTTCAGTATCATCAACTTCCAGAGCCTCCGCAATTCGTTACTGTGGTTTGAAGGATCTTTCAGAGGTAAGAAAGACAGACCATTGCTTAGATTTCCTTTCTAAGGTCACCAGGAAAAGTGAACATTGGATTTAATTGTATATACTATTGGCAAGATAAATGGACCTCTTAAGCTCTCAATACTTGTTTGTGTTGAGTAAACAAGCATTAATGCAATGTTTCAGACTGTGTTTTATATGTTCATGGTCCATTGGTGAGGATGGTTCACTCTGAGAAATTGCCTAAATTTGTTGCTTTTTAAATTAAAGGAAACAACAATCCAGAAAATGGAAAGGATGAAAAAAATGTAAGTAACAGAAAGGGGCCACAGAAATTTGTTTCTCTATAGGGAATTGTATTGGGTTATATATACATAGAATGTGCATATGTCTTGCAAACCTCAAAAGTCTGTCGTTGGGTGTGGAATTTCCTTCCAGACTCCAGTGAATAATAAATCCACCCACAGTTATGTGTTTGTGAGTTGAGTCACTTGTTTTGATTTCAACAAGCTTTGTAAAAACATTGTTAATAAAATTAACTGGATTAAGGATTGCAGGGATATTTTTGATTGGCAGTTAATCCAGAGTTATCTGTTTATATATGATGTGTTAAAATATTAAGTATATGTAGATCAGTAGTATTTAAAGTACTACTAGTCTTTTTATTAAGTTATTGATAAAGTTACACTAATGATATGTTTTATATAGTGCAAATAACATTTAGTTTACAAAAGAACAGTTTAAAGAAAATCTAAAGTGAAATTAAAAAATATTATACAGCCTAATACCTTACAAAACTAGAATAGTCTTGAAATTTGAAAAATTCTAGAGTAATTTAAGCTTCAAGAATCGACTTTATTTTTCCATTTATCTAGCCATAGTATGTTTATTATTAATAGTAAATGAAAACAAAAATATTCACATTTATTTTAGACTCAAAAGCTTAGTTTCAATAACTTAAGTCTCACTGATTGTGAATTGTTTATCTATCACTTTTCTATTCTATTTCAGGTTTGAAGAAACTGCAGAGTTACTCAAGATCTCCAGTCGCTAATTGTAGAACTTCCTTCTGCACAAACTTTTCTAGAATTTTCGCTACTGTATGTGTTGTATATTTTAAGAGTTCTCTATAATTTTAATACACTGCAGTGTTTATTAGGAATTTGGATTTTATTTGGTATCTGAGTTTTTCATTCTTTCGTGAATAAATACTTTGAATATTTTTGAGCTATGATAATATTGGTTCACTCCTTTTCACTTAGGAAAAAATCTGTGTTCTTTGCTTTAACAGAGTGAAGTCATTACAGCACTGTTTTTTTGTGTTGACATTTGTTGGCAGTGTGCTAAGTAGTGTGTTTTAAAGTACAGGCTTGAAGACCGTGGTTTACATCCTGTTGGAAGCATGCCAACTAGGACTTACATATTGTTCCCTGGAGGCTTCTCCGACATACAGTCTTGCCATCTGTGCTGATGAGTAAGTTGTACTGAGAAGTTTAAAAAGCTCATTGAAAATTAAAGAAAACAACAATATAGCTGTTTCATGCTTAGTCACAAAGCAGTACCTTTTCAGTTAATGCTGGGAAAGTGTGGGTATGATTCTCCTTTTGTATTAAAGCAGGTCTATAAGGTTCACTGAGAACATGCTGAGTGTTTTCCTGCTTAATACCCACAGCACACACACATTGGTGGTGGCCATCCAGTGCTAGAGGTGAGGTGGGTTTCTCACGTGGTGAGGTGGGTTTTCTTTTCTAATGATGAGAAGTTGGATATATATGCATCTGTCTTGTATATGTACAAATATGTATAAATATGTATATATGAGAGGAAACGCCTTAAATCAAGAAAAAATGAAATTAATTTTTAAAACATATTTTTCTGACTTGTAAATAAAACTGTAATAACAATTTAATTGACCCCATTATTGGAAAGCTGGAATATTTTTCTTTTCCTGTATGTTTCACCTGTTATTTGATGTTTTTCATATCATCTGTCTATATTGTAATGTATGGTTTGACATTTGATTGTGAAAATATAAAACCTTAAATTATAATTACAAGTAGAACTTTAAAAAAGTTTTTAGGATTCCCATGGTTAGTTATTATACTTTAAAACTATGAACTTTTATGGTAACATACAGGAACATATGGCCCTGCATTTTATAAAATTTGAATATAGACTATAGTTTGTAAATCCTGTTTACCTTGGTTTTTCAATTATAAACAAGATACATTTGTAAAAAAGAGCACAGTTTTGAAAAAACTAGCCTAGTCTAAGGAACTTCTGGACTGTCAGAATCAGTGTGGAATTATAGTGCCACCTTGTGGCTCATATATATTTTACTTTTAAAACCAGTGATTCCCCACAAAAGAGGGGAAATAACGGAAAAAATTCAGTCCCAATTTTAAAAAGAAACATTCTTAAGATTTTTGTGGAAGATTGATGAAAGTTGTCTTTCTCTTTGTCTCCTCCTATCATTATTTCTTTCCTTTTTGTTTACATATGTACCAAATTTGAAATGTTTGTAATATAACTTACATATAAAATGCATAATACATGCATGTACTGAAAACATTTCTAGTTATGCTACCAAGTATAAATTTGGAATCCAAATTATTTATACTTTTAACTAACAACTTAATCAAAAACTAATAGGAGAATGAATAAAAGTTTTCTATTATTTTGACAATATAATCCTAAAATAAAAACGAGGAAAATTTTTTACTTCAAGTTATTAAAAGAATTGCCAACTTATTATTCTCTTTTGAAATAGCAGAGGTTTTTCTCTCATAATTACCTTGGCAAGTAGTTTGTAATAAGAAACCAACCTCTTTTGAATGACCTGGAGGTCCTGAAAAAGGTAGCTACATAATTAACCCTTATTTAGCTGGGATTTACACTAATTCCATCCCCAGCATTCTTTAAACTAGATTAAATAACCAATCACCATTCTATGAACAAAGGCATCAGTAGCTCATGCTGCCCTATCTGAACTACGCTCTGAGTAGTTCTACACTTGGTTGAAAGGAAACAGAGGAGCAATTTTGAGTAGATCTAGATGAGAGCCTGAGGGATACTGAAAGAAATTCTTAAGTAAAACCTCAGGACTGAAAAAAGTAGTATCTACTATTTATGAAAAGTCTAGGCAAAGCTGAGGGATGACAAATACACTGGGAAAAACAGTCATGTCACATTTGCCTTACTCTTACCATTTTAATGTGATGTTTTAACATGTGATATATTTCTTCCAAAATAAACTAAAAGCTTTGTAACTATGTTTTATGTTGTTTATTACTCAAACTTCATTTGGGGAAGCATTAAAAAGTAAAAGGAGGCTGGGTGCTGGTGGCCCCTGCTTGTAATCCTAGCTACTCAGTAGGCTGAGATCTGAAGATCATAGTTCAAAGCCAGCCCGGGCAAGAAAGTCTGTGAGACTCTTATCTCCAATAAATCACTCAGAAAAACCGGAAGTGGTGCTGTGGCTCATGTGGTAGAGCTCTTCGCCTTGAGCTGAAGAGCTGAGGTAGCACCCAGGCCCAGAGTTCAAGCCCCACAACCAATTAAAAAAAAAAAAAAAGTAAAAGGACTGTCAATTTTATAAGCACAATATTTTTTTAAAGCTCAAATAAAGCTTTAATTTTTATATTTTTTAGCAATTCCCAGGTTTGTCTCTTTGAAGCTGAAGAATTCAGAGAGGGAGAACTGGTCAAAGTATTATAAAACTTAAAAGTTATATTAGAAAAAGCTGAGACTAGTGGTCCATGCCTATAATCCCTGATATTCTGTAGTTTGAGTGAGGAGAATCATGAGTTCCTGAATTCCCTGCCTAGGTGGTAGAATATTTCTCTAACCAGCATGAGGCCCTGGGTTCAGTCCCCAGTAACAAAAGGAAAGGAAAAAGAAGGGAGAGTGAGGGGCAAGGGAGAAGGGGAGAGCAGACTCTCCTACAAAATTAAAACTTAAGTCACTTGACTTTCTCTATTTCTGGTCAAAATGGGAGGTTCTTCTGTTACTCACTAGAGTAAAAGCTGAGATGTGAGCAATATTGAGAACATACATAGTGACTCTGAATTTTTCATGAGTGCCAGTACAAGGTTTTGAACTCCGGAACTTGTGTTCTCCTTTCACGCATGCCTGGCTTTCTACCATTTGAGGCGTGCCTCCAGCTCTGGAACTCTGTCTTTCTTAGCATTATTTTAAAATTATAAGTTATCTTGATTGAAATACTTACAGGAATAGAAGGATGTATTTGTTCCTCTGAAGTCTACTAAATCCAATTATTGTATTTGAGGTGGAGCTCTAGATGTTGTCCAGGCCCATCTCAAATTCCTTGTCTCAAGTGATCTGGTTTGCTAGCCCCTGATTTGCTAGGATTATAAATTCAGTTCACTAGTAAGAACTTCATTTTTTTCTTTTATTTAATATCTTAAAATTTAGAATGGAGTTCATATGCAATAACTCTCTGATGTCTATAAATTATATTGTGGATGAGTATTAAGAGGAGAGGAAAGAATAACTTGTGAAAATAAAACAATTTAGATAGCAAGAAAGTATTTGGCATAGGTCATAATTTGTAGATTAAATTCTTGAGTTTTTCATTTGTTTGTTTGTTTTTGGGTTTTTTTTGGGTCCGGTCATGGGGCCTGAAATCTGGGCCTGGGCGCTGTCCCTCAGCTCTTCAGCTCAAGGCTAGAGCTCTAACATTTGAGCCACAGCGCCACTTCCGGCCTTTTTCTTTTTTTTTTTTGTTTTAATTTTATTTTATTTGTGAACATACTGTACAGAGGGGTTACAATTACATGGGCAGGACAATGCGTACATTTCTTACCAAGCATTGCAGCCTCCTCCTTTGTTTACCCTTCACCTCCCTTCCCAGCCTCCCCCCTCTCCCCCATCCTAATCCTTCTCCTTCCCCCCCTTCCCCCCCTCCTTCCCCCCCCCCCCCCCCACCGACGTTGTAAAGCTCGTTTTGGACATGACAACTTGTACTTCTCATTGTTGCAACAGGTCCACCTGTATCCTTAAACAACTGGTTTTTCCCCATCTCCTCCACAAGTTTTACTGACATCAAATATAGTGAAAGTGGGGGTTATACTGTGGGGGAGGGACATACAAAGCAACAAAGAGATAATCTTATAAATGCGTTAGAAACACATGCATGAAAGAAAAAAACCTTAAAATACATATCTAAGGGTTCATTTTCCTGACATCACATTATCTGTAGCTAGCAAGATCAATAGAAAGCCCACGGATTGGGAGAAGATCTTTACTACCCATACAACGGACAAGGGTCTCATATCTAAAATATACTTGGAACTCAAAAAATTAAACCCCCCAACAACAAATCCTCAAAGAAACAACTGCCCAATAAATAAGTGGGCGAAAGACTTAAAGAGAAACTTCTCTGAAGAAGAAAGAAGGATGGCCAATAGACACATGAAGAAATGTTCAACATCCCTAGCCATAAAAGAAATGCAAATCAAAACAACATTGAGATATCACCTCACTCCAGTTAGAACGGCAAAAATCAAGAACTCTAACAACAACAGATGTTGGAGGGGATGTGGACAGAAAGGAACCTTACTTTATTGTTGGTGGGAATGTAAACTTGTTCAACCACTTTGGAAAGCAGTATGGAGGTTCCTCAAAAGACTTCACATAGAACTCCCCTATGACCCAGCAATCCCACTTTTGGGCATTTACCCAAATGTTTACAAACAAGACCACACTAATGCTACCGGCGTTTTTCTTATGTAGTGCTGAGGAATCAAACCCAGGGCCTCAGGCATGCAAGGCAAACGCTCTACCACTGAGCCACCTTCCCAGCCCCCATGTTTATTATTCCTTATGTCTTGCGTATCCCTGTGAACTAAGCCATAAACAACTGCATCTGTACAATTTATCTTATTGCCCTATGGTTTACACGTGTAAGAATTTATCTTAAGTATGTATCTCAAGTCCTATATTTCAATCTTTCTTGTAACATTAATTTCTCCAGTGCCCCAAATGTATGTATTCAATTTTTATCCATTACCAATTGCAAGTAAGCATGAGAAGTCCTGAGTTCAAGACTCAGTACTGGCCCAAAAAAAGGAAAGGAGGAAAGCTGGTGGCTCATGCCTGTAATCCTAGCTACTCAGGAGGCTGAGATGTGTGTGTGTGTGGGGGGGGGGGGGGGGCGGGTTAGGTTCAAAGCCAGCCCAGACAGGATGTGAGACTCTTATCTCCAATTAACTACAAAAAAAAAAAGTTGGAAGTGAAGCTGTGGCTCAAGTTGTAGAGCACTACCACCTTGAGCAAAAAAAGCCCTAGTGCGCTCACCAAAGGAAGAGAAGATACTGGAGAAGTCATTTTTTTAATATTTATAAGCATATGCATGAACACATCTTTATTTTAGTTTTTGACATATAATAAAGATTAATAGATTTTAACTTTGGATTTTTTTTTTGTTTTGGTTCTGGGGTTTGAACTGAGGGCCTAAAAATTGCTAGGCTGACATGATGCCACTCCTATGCCTCCAGCACTGTTTTTCACTGGTTATTTTTTTTTAATTTTAATTTTTTGTGAACATACTGTACAGAGGGGTTACAATTACGTGGGCAAGATAATGAGTATATTTCTTATCAAGCATTGCAGCCTCCTCCTTTGTTTCCCCTTCCCATCCCTTCCCAGCCTCCCCCTCCCCCCAAAGTTGTAAAGTTCGTTTTCGACATGACAACTTGTACTTCTAGTTGTTGCAACGGGTCCACATGTATCCTTAAACGACTTGTTTTTTCCCCATCTCCTCCACAAATTATACCGACATCAAATATAGTGAAAGCAGGGGTTATACTGTGGGGGAGAGACATACAAAGCAACAAAGAGAAAATCTTATAAATATGTTAGAAACACATGCATGAAAGAAAAAAAAACATTTAAATACATATCTAAGGGTCCATTTTCCTAACATCACATTATCTGACCTTTTCTGCTTGACTCATACATATATTAGATATTGCAAATAAGGGAAACTATGGCACCTATGTTTCTTTGGGCTTGGCTTACTTCACTTAATATAATTTTTTCCAAGCCTTTCCATTTCCTAACAAATGGGGCAATGTCATTCTTTCTGATGGAGGCATAGAATTCCATTGTGTATATATATATACCACATTTTCTTGATCCATTCATCTACTGAGGGGCATCTTGGTTGGTTCCATATCTTAGCTATGGTAAATAATGCTGGAATAAACATAGTTGTGCTGGTAGCTTTAGTATGGTCTTCTTTGTGATCATTTGGGTAAGTTCCCAAAAGTGGGATTACTGGGTCATAGGGGAGCTCTATGTGGAATCTTTTGAGGAACCTCCATACTGCTTTCCAAAGTAGTTGAACAAGTTTACACTCCTACCAACAAGGCAGTAAGGTTCCCTTCTGTCCACATCTTCTCCAGCATCTGTTTTTGTTAAGAGTTCTTGATGTTTGCCATTCTAACTGGGGTGAGGTGGTATCTCAATGTTGTTTTGATTTGCATTTCTTTTATGGCTAGGGAGGTTGAGCATTTCTTCATGTGTCTATTGGCCATCCTTCTTTCTTCTTCAGAGAAGTTTCTCTTTAAGTCTTTAGCCCACTTACTTATTGGGCAGTTGTTTCTTTGAAGATTTGTTGTTGGGGGATTTAATTTTTTGAGTTCCAAATATATTTTAGATATGAGACCCTTGTCTGTTATATGGCTAGTGAAGATGAGAAGTCATTTTTTATTGTTTGTGGAAATCATGGAGTATTTTTCACACTGTTAAAATAGTGTTCAAAAGCTATATCTGGATTTTTGTAGTAATAAAATATTCTGTATTCTAGTCAAACACAATTATTGTTTATGGCACAACATCATATGTTTTATATTTATTTTTGTGGGGGAGCCAGTCCTGGGGCTTGAACTCAGGGCCTAGGCACTGTCCCTGAGCTTCTTTTGCTCAAGGCTAGTACTCTACCACTTCAGTCACAGCACCACTTCCATCTTTTTCTGTTTATGTGGTACTGAGGAATTGAACCCAGGACTTTATGCATGCAAAGCAAGCACTCTACCATTAAGCCACATTCCAAGCCTTGTTCATTTTTATTAGCATACATTAGTTATTAGTAAGGGGTTCTCATGTCCATGTATGTATATAATTTATTTCTATCAATCTCTACACTGTTCTGTCTCCCTCTTGTCTCCTTTCCCCTTTCCAAAACAATTTCAACAGGTTTCATTGTTCTGTTTTTATACATGCAAACCACCTACATTGACCATATTCC